AGACGACTGAAAACTAGCTCAATCTGACTCAGACAACTTACAGGGCTAAATTCGTAAAAATATCTTCTGTTTTTTTGTTTGGTCACAAAGGACTATACTGTAATTTCATACCACTTTTAGGTTAGATTTGCATTTGATTGAAGTTTGGGTCTAGTATTGGGGTTAAAACCAAGTTGTAGGTTAGTTTTGGCAAAAACCCATGATTAAACAACAATATCACAGTTGAAAGGTTAAACGTAAATGAATAACTAAAAAAACATAAACTATTATTTGTGATGGTGATCTTTGAGGATAAAGATACAATTATTTTTTCTCGAAACACTATATATATATATATATATATTTTTTAAATTAACTTTTGCGTTGGTTATGGACAACCGATTAAGCAAAAAAATTATTACTCTATAAAAAATAACAAAATAGATTAATTAGTTCATTTGTCAATATCTTCAGAATCTAATCCTCTTAGAAACGGATAACAACGCTATGTTAACACACATTATAACCAAATACTCTTTTGCAATTCTGAATATTAGTCATAAGTTGATAACAGTTACTTTTGCTAATCGATCGCTTTAACAATTATTGAAATATTGTAAATGACCACATAAGCAAGCTAGGCTACACGGGGTCATGTAAGTAACGTACCATCCAGGAGCATCTCTGGACATCATTCTCGGATACAGGTTCATCAAAGGAGGAGGATCTGACACGTGTCGGCGACAAATCCCTCAATGAATCGACCAAAGTCTCAATCTTTCCGGCAACTTCCATAATATCTTCAAACTGAGAGAGTAATCGGCGGTGGTGGAAAAATCTTTCACACAAACCGTAACAAACGTATCTCTTTTGATCAGACTACAATCGTAATCCTAATTTATAGACAGTGGCATGCGCATGGGATGATTTCATTAATACAGAATACCGAATCCAAATAAGTAGAGAATCTTGGAGTATTGCTAGAATATTAAATAAATTAATATCTTAAGATAATCTATTTTATTAATTAAATTTGATGTACAAATTACAAAACAATATTTATCTATTTTAAGTGATGTTTTACAGATTTTCTTTCTATTTTTAATGGATTGTAATCTTTATATTTATTATATTTTCTAAATAATTTGATGTCATTTATTACAGAATTACAAAACATAATTTCATATTTGAAGTGTTTTATTATTAATTTTACATTAATTTTCTCAGTATTTTTAACTATTTCATTAATTATTTTTACAAAAATATTTTGATAATACTCATTTACATATTAACCATGATAATTTGATATAATTAAATGAAATTGTTTCATTTGTGACAAAATTTAAAATGACTATTAAAATTTTCTTTTTTTATTATTATTTATTTATAAAATCAGTTAAACATAAACATTCGGATACATGTTCAAGTGAAAATGAAAACCTCTCATTTCCTTGGATATATATAGCATTATCCTGTAAAAATGAAGTTTCCAGTTGTGTTACTCTTGAAAGTTTCTTGATAAGGATGATTTTCCTCCCTGTTTTGATGGTAAGCTTCAGTGGAAAAAAATCAAGACATTCCACTTTACATATATATACACATATTTTCACTAATTTAACGAAATTCTGCAGAATAGCCAGTGATATTGAAATTTTGATGAAAGATCAATGATATGTACCAGAACATTTGGCATTTATCTAGGTTTTGTAGGAGCTTGTCTAACATTATAAAGTCATCCTTAAAAATATAAAGTACATGAAAATAGATATGTTAAAGAAATATTTTTTAGGTATGTTAAAGAAATAACATGAAAATAGATGAAATAAAAATTTAGAGAAAATAATATATATATATATATATACATATATCTTACATCCAATTTAAATTAGATATGCTAAAGATACTAACACAAAATGACAATTACTTTATGAATTAAATATTGTATATTATAAGGGTCCTAAATTAACTGGAAATTTTAGAATTTTAGAGTTACTATGTTTTGGTTTGATATTAAATTATAAAAAAATAATATTTCATCTATTATTTAATAACTGATAAAAAAGATTAAATTTATTGATTGTGTTCAACCATAGTTGTTTTCAGTTTCACATTTTAGATGTTTTGTTTGTTCTCTTATTTTATTAGTTGTGAAACTCTTTCTAAATTCACATCGGTTTGCCACACTGAAACCAAATCTAATCGTTATATAACTTTTGTTTCAATATTTAGTTTTAGATTGTTCAGGCTTACTTCGAATTTGATTCGATCCCAAACCAAAATTCTATAAAACCCGAATGAAATCTGACAGATACCCGAACGCGAACGCGGGACACAACGAAAAAATTTAAATGAGTGAAAACATGATCCATATGCGTATTGACATTCATTTAATGGGCCTTAGTGAAGCCCAAAGCAAATACGACACCGTAGTAAAGAACGTAGCGTCTAGAGATTCTCTTGTTTAATTTGGGAAGAAGAAAGAAGAAAGAAGAAAAAATCCGAGAGATCCTCGTTGACGCATCTTACTAGAGAGGTCAAAGAAGGAGGCGAGTTGAATCAAATCAAATCGAATCAATCCTCCTTCTCCTTCTCCCATTCCCGTTGATTCCGTCAACTAAAAAAAAAATCAAAACCGTAGCAGCAGCAGCAGAGAAAGAGGAAGGTGATGAACAGATTAAGGAATCTGGACGCTTACCCTAAAATCAATGAAGATTTCTACAAGCGTACTCTTTCCGGTGGTCTCATCACCCTCGTCTCTTCCCTCTTCATGCTAATTCTCTTCTTCTCCGAGCTCCGTAAGTGCATTCATTCAATTTGGATCGAGGAAGCTTTAAAGCTCGATGCTTGTAGTGTTGAAGCTCCAAAGTTTTGTTTTTTATTTGTGGGTTTTTGATTTTACTTTGTGGGCTTTTTTAGGGCTTTACATGCACCCGGTTACGGAGACTCAGCTCCGTGTTGATACATCAAGAGGAGAGAAGCTACGTATCAATGTAAAGTTTGTTCCTTTGCGAAGTTACTAGTTTTTTTTTTTTGTTTTTTTAATGAATTTTAATTATTTACGAATATATGCAGTTTGATGTTACATTCCCTGCGCTTCAATGCTCGATTATTAGTATTGATACGATGGATATAAGTGGAGAGAGGCACCTTGATGTGGTATGTAGTTTTTAGATTCTTCTTTACCATTTATGTTTTCGTTTTTGAATGTTGATGTATTTAAGCTTTGTCTGATTTTTTATTTATTTATTTATTTATTTCAGTGGCATGATATTATTAAGAGACGATTAGACTCTCATGGTAATGTTATTGAGGCTAAACAAGATGGAATTGGTCATACTAAGGTTGGTTTTCCAAAGACTATGACCTTTTTTTCATTTTCAGGTGCTATCTTTGATTTCATTTGCGAGAAGTGTGTTAAAAAGGTTTTTGATTCTTTATTGTTATTGTCTATCTCCAGATTGAGAAACCTTTGCAGAAACATGGTGGAAGGTTGGAGCACAATGAAACGTATTGTGGTTCCTGCTTTGGAGCCGAAGCGGTAATAAACCTCTCTAATTCACTAGAATAATAACAAGCTCACATTTTATGCAAGAAAATCTTCAACAGAGTTATTTAGTATTTGATTCATTAATTTTAAAATTATTTTGTGGTGGTGATTTGTTTTGAACTTTTGATCTTCTTACATTGTTGTGGTTGTCATTTTCTTACACTTTTTAGACGGATGATACTTGTTGTAATTCATGTGAGGAAGTTCGTGAAGCTTATCGAAAGAAAGGTTGGGCCCTCTCTGACCCTGAATCTATCGACCAGGTATGCTGACATACCTTTTAATAACAACAAAAATTGGGTTGATTTTGTTACTTAATTTGTGGTCTTCACATCTCGTTACATGATATTCATACTTATTCCATCTCAGTGTAAAAGAGAAGGGTATGTGCAAAAGGTGAAAGACGAAGAAGGTGAAGGTTGTAATCTTCACGGTTTCCTGGAAGTTAATAAAGTCGCTGGGAATTTTCATTTCATTCCAGGACAAAGTTTTCATCAATCCACTTTTCAGTTTGGTGATTTGATATTCTTCCAGCAAGGCAACTACAATGTAAGAGAAGTAGTTCCGTTCTTGTTTCAGACTCTCTTTATATAGCTCATGTTTCAAAAGGGTCTTACTCCCGTTTGTATCTCTACACAGATTAGCCACAAGGTTAACAAGTTGGCCTTTGGAGACTTTTTCCCCGGTGTAGTAAACCCTCTAGACGGGTAAAAACTTCTCTCTCTCTCTCTCTCCCAACCTATTACACACTTCTTTTATTGTCTTATCCTCTGAAATGTTCTCTTGGTGTTCTCAGTGTGCAGTGGAATCAGGAGAAACAGAATGGCGTGTATCAATATTTCATTAAGGTTCGCCACATCTCAACTTTTTTTCCATTGATGAGATTCTCATATGGTACAATATTGTTACTAGAGATGGTATGTTTAGATAACATTCTTGAAGAGACCTCTGTGAGATTCCTAAGTGGCTCGTTTTTTAGCTTAGTTTACTGATAGATAAGTATCTGCTTTCCATCGAGTTTAGCTTCTGCATACTATAGAGAATATTGAGTATAGTGATAAAGAAATGGTACTGTTGGTGTGGTATTGTAGGTGGTACCAAGCATATACACTGATGTTCATGGGAATACTATTCAGTCAAACCAGGTGAAGCTCCATCTCCAAATCTCTGTTTAAGCATCTTTGACATTTCATTTTTTTTGTAAAATGTAACAATTTTTTTTTTTGGGAAAAGTTCTCTGTGACAGAACATTTCCAGAAAACGGAAGCAGGTCGCATGCAATCACCGCCTGGTGTTTTCTTCTACTATGATCTTTCACCAATTAAGGTCTGTTTTTGGATTTGGTTTGTTGTGTTAATCAAAGACATTCTAACTTTGATTGGTTTGTTTGTTTCAAGGTGATATTTGAGGAGCAGCATGTGGAGTTCCTGCACTTCCTAACAAATGTTTGTGCTATAGTAGGAGGTGATCCAATATTCACATATATATATCTTCTCCAAAACTGGTTTTACTTGGTTCATTGCATTAATAAAATTAAGACTTTGGTTTTACAGGTATTTTCACGGTATCAGGAATAGTTGATTCATTTATATACCATGGACAACGAGCAATTAAGAAGAAAATGGAGATTGGTAAATTCAACTGAGTTTTTTTTTTTTTTAATATATACTTCACACTTTCTTGATCAGAGACTGGTTAATCCTGAACGGGGTTTTACAGTTAGACATTAGGTTTGATGAGTCTGGCAACAATGCCATCATTGTTTGATTATAAAGGGATCTGATAAACTTTTTCTTTACCTTTTAAATTATGTATCTTATCCTCTCGCAGAATTATTAAAAATGTTAAATTGATGGTATTTTCTACTCGAGTTTTGAGCTTTTTTAAAAAAAATTTTATACTCAAAATCACATATCTAAGCTGGATTGAAGAAAAAAAATTGAGTCGTATTTGTACAACATGGACTCGTTCGGCCTTTCACTTAATTTTTTTTGTTGTTTGCAGAATATTTTATTTCATAGTTGAAAGTTAAGGGAAATATAAGAAACCCAATAGAAAAAAAAAACTCAAATAACATCAGGCTTTGCTAATAAACTGAAAGCTAAAAGTTGAGAAATTTTACATTACACATTTGCCAAAACAGAACGTTACAGAAATCATTCGAACACAAGGCGACATGAGGGTGACGCTCTGACCACACTAGCCAACTCATTGATCAACTCACTTCTCTTTCCTAACTCTTCCTGCTCTTCCAGTACAATGGATGTTGTGGAGAAAATTGCTTTCTTCAACTGTCTAGCGTTCTCTAGGATGTATGTGGCCACTTGTATCTCATCTCGTTCCCATTCGTAGTCTTCCCACATGAATGTTTCAAGATGGAACAACAAACATTCTGGTACACATTTCGGCTGATTCCATTCCCATTCCACAGAATCATATTCAGGATAAAACTGACAACAACTCAAATTATAATGACATTAGAACATTAGAGTATATGATATAACTTGTGGCGATTTTCTTACGCTGGTGAGCTTGAGGATTTGCAGTTTAGGAGAGCCTTCGAGCATGGCCCAAAGGTTCAACACTTTTAGTTCATTTACATGTAGCTCCAAAGATACCAGCTGATAAAAGACCCTACCGGTAGGATACTTGATCTGTGGACGGTTAAAAAAAATACTTAAAGGATAAATATTAAAGTAAAAAAAAAAAACATTAACAATGTAGCAATACAAGTAAAACAGTAAATTTATCTTACCGTTAAGGGTAAGTCTAAGGAAAGACGCTTGGCTGAAGTTAGAGATGCAAGAATGTTCTCATTGTCCATACGAGGAACGTCCAAGATCTTTGCCTCGACCAGCTCCGGCGCCTTCTCAATCAGACAGAATTCACCAGAGTTAATGCAGACCATGTTTAAGTATTTCAAGGATGGTGCATTAATCACATAGCCTCCATCATTTGAGCCACGGCCACAAGCATCCTCTTCTATGGTTAGTCTTTGTAATGATGGCACCGCAACAGTGTAGGTGAGTTCATAACTCGTGTCACAACCAAATCTTGAAGCCTAGGGCATCCAGAGAAAAGGTTGCAAACAGAAGCTTCATCTATGAATATCACATCGTGAAGATGCAACTTTTTAAGTGCATTCAAACAAACCCGAGAAGGAAACTCCAAATGAATGTGATACATTAGCTTCAGTGTATGGAGTGTGTTGTTATAGCTACACAATACACTAGGGAACTTGACTGGGTCGTCTCGTATCTCATGGTAGTGAAACAACACCAATTCACGCACGTGACGTGAAAATGCAATTCCAATCAATATTCCAATATCAGCAGGATCTTCTATGTTCAAATACAGCCTTTCAAGAAATGGTGCTTTATGTAAAAGCAGTGACTTGTAAACATCCTCTGAAAATAAATAGGACGTTGTAGAATCAAATTCGAGTTTTGGTACCATCTTCCAAAGAGATCTCCACCGTTTAGACAAAACACTTGTGGCTATGAGCTCTTTTGTTCGAAGTAAAGACAATATGTGTAGAAGCAGAACTTCAGGTAACTCACTGAGCCTGTCCTTGTTTTCAACTCTTAAACTATCAAAAATCAAATAACAAAATATACCGGTTTTAGGGTTTTAACTAGGTTAGGGTAAGGGATGCAGACAACAACATAAAAAAAAAACGAAACAGAGAAACGTACCATTGTTGTTGTGCCATTGTCGTTGAGACCACAGTTTTGAGAGCACCACTTGGTATTAATGCCTTGCGAGTGCAAACGCAGCAGACACTCGAATACGGGTAATGTTTAAATAATGATAATGTTGACGATTCAGCTTCATGACTATTCAATTGTGTTGAATGTTGATAGTAACAATGTGCATAGAATTTCGAAAAGAAAGAGGACGATAAGTCTTTTTTTAAAAAAAAAATCAAACATATTAATGAGTTTATTTGGTCTTAGCCAAGTCCCAATGTAATAATGAGATTGCTTTCAATATGTTTTTTTGAAAATGACGACGAAATGTATTGAAAATATATTAATTTATAAATTTAGTACTAATTTATTAGGAGCCATTTACACTATGGAGTGATTTTAATATTTATTCTTTTAAAATAGATATTCTTAGACACTTTAGACACTTTTGAAAAATATGTTAGCCTTACAAATGTTTGCAGAATATAGTGAAACCTTTATCAATTAATAATTTTGAAATTACACCAAAACTATAACTTTTTATTAATTTATAGAAATTGTTAATTTATCGATATACTAACTTAACCAAAAACTTAATTTAGGACTACAAAATTATATTATTTTATAGAAATTTTTAGTGTATATTAATTTATAGAGATTGATTTTAAGAGGTTATAATGTATAAGATTATGAAGTTAAGCTTTTGGTTGTCCCATATTGAGTGTCATCTTCGGAAACTCAATTGAAATTCACTATCAACCAGAGAAAAGACAAAAATAATTAGTTATGTCGTCTATATTAACGAATAAATTCTTGCAAATTGTATTTAACTATTAATACCGCATTGGAGGACAGCACCTTCTTCTAAACCACCATATCACTTAGTATTACACTTGTTAATACACATTATACCGGAAGTAGTTGAGTATTTAAGCTTAGATCATCTCTAATGTATTGTACTATTTTTCCTTTATAATAGACGAATTATAAGTAAAACTAGAAATCGATTGTGCGGATATTGGTTAACTTGATCAGAGCTCTAAGTACAGCCATGAAAATCAAGTTTCTTCAGCTTTTTATTTTATTTTTGATTCTATATTCTTTTTCTTCTGGACAATCTCCTTCTTCCTGATTCATGGTCTTCTTATTGTTGCAGAGCTTTAACTGTGACATTTTATAATTTTATAATGGAAAGATGATATTTTATAATTATTCAATCAATAAAATTAAAATTCACTTTAAAACATATCTCAAAACTTTAAAATTTAGTTGGGATATCGTGACTGTTTATTATATGTTCGTTCATATTTTTATTTATGGTTGCTAACGAAGTCCTAACGACCATTGACGAGGTTACATGTATATGATTGTATATATCCACGACATTCTAACTCAAATATAGACAGAATAATATAAACTTGAATTAGTATCTTGCAACTTCATAGTGATAAGAATCATAAGATACTTTAAAAAACATACTTCAGCGTTTAAGAAAGCATGATAATCACTAATGTACACCCTATGGTTAAGAGCATGTTTATTGGGAGGGTGCTTAAGGGGGTGCTTAGAAAAGTGGGGTGTTTAGTTTTGAAGGGAGAAAGTGTTGAAAGTGCTTAATTAAACACTTTCAACACTCTCTCTCTCTTCAAAACTAAGCATTTCACTCCCTTAAACACTCTCCCTAAGCACCCCCAATAAACATGCTCTTAGGTATTTACAGCCAAACAAGGCATGAGATTGAGAGGGGAACTTAGTCAAACATTCTATCTTTAGTTCCTCCGAAATAGCCTAACTTTACGTATCTTCTTCCACCTTCCGTATATTACCATTAACCTCTGCCAACAAGTTTTTTTTTTCTCCTTTGGAGATTACTGATCAGCATTATAACAAACTCCATCTGGATGAAGAGAAATCTCTTTCTTGCTTAGTCAATATGGGTCGTGTGAAATTGGAGATCAAGAGAATAGAGAACAATACTAACCGACAAGTTACGTTCTCAAAACGTAGAAATGGTTTGATTAAAAAAGCTTATGAATTGTCGATTCTCTGTGACATCGACATTGCTCTTATCATGTTCTCTCCTTCCGATCGTCTTAGCCTCTTTTCCGGCAAAACTCGGTACGTATTAGCATTTACAATTTCTTTTTTAACATTTTAAATTGCTAGATTTCTTAGATATGAATAGAGATGAAAGATAAACTAAATATCGTAGACCATGCATATGATCATATCTCTTAATGATATCTTCAGGATCGAAGACGTGTTCACAAGGTTTATTAATCTCCCTAACCAAGAACGAGAGATGTAAGCTAACACTAGTTTCCTCTTGTTTCTTTTTAGTTCCTGATTTTTATTAGTATATGATTTCTTCGTAAATTTTGACTTATGATTTATTTATTTGTTTGTTTTCAGTTCAGCCTTTCCCGACCAGGGTAGACGCCCGTATGTATCATTTTTTTTTGTTGCATTGCATAATCATTTGTGTATTTATATATTAAATAAAAACTAACCTCTTACTGTTTTTTCGCAGAGATATTCAAAGCAAAGAGGTTCGACTGATCCTACTGATTAGTATTAATTTTCTTCTCAAAATGTGATATAGTCTGTTATCTATCTATTGATTTAGAATAATGTTATTGCATGACAGTATCTACTAAGAATTTTGCAGCAACTCAAGACAGAAAATGACATCGCTCTTCAAATTACGAAGTTTGAAACATCCCTTGTGCTTTGTCTTTATAATCGATTTATAATTTCTATAGTTCACCAACATACACATTTTTCCATAAAAATCTAACTTTTCAATTAATTAACCTTGTTTTGTTTCCATATCTTGAAAAAGCCCGGCAGCTATTAAGTCCGACGTCGAGGTGATTAATTTTTACTATTAACTAAAACATGTATATTGATATGTTTTTATCTACGTAGTAGCTTAGCCGCTTAATTAATCCCTCTTTTAAACGGAATATCTAGGAACTTGAGCAAGAAGTTTGTAGGTTACAACAACAACTCCAAATAGCAGAAGAAGAACTAAGGTTTTAGTTCGAAAAAAAAAACAAGTTCTTTGTTAATGATTTATAAACAATGTTGATTAAAAACTATTGATCCCTAACTTGAGCAGGAGATACGAACCAGATCCAGTAAGATTCACTAGCATGGAGGATTATGAAGTTTGTGAGAAGCAACTTCTAGACACGTTAACACACGTTGTCCAACGACGAGAGCATCTCTTAAGCAGCCATTTACCTTCATACGAAGCATCTACTATGCAGCAAAACATTGTAGGTCCTTTCGTCAACGGAGTCGTTGAAGGTTGGTTGCCTGAAAATGGACCCAATCAAACACATTTATTTGATTCAAATCAACTCAGGTATTTCATACTTTTAAAAGCTTACTGAAGTATTTATTTTCTTTCTTTCTAATCAAAACATTGACATTAGTACAGTTTCGATCTTCATAATAAATGGGTTTTTTTTTGTAACCATTCATAATAAGTGGTTATTTAATTATTTTGAGTGAAAAAAATTGGCAGAGAAATACCATCGACAATGTATGAACCATTGTTGCAAGGGAGTAGCTCAAGTTCTAACCAAAACAATATGAGCGAATGCCATGTGACAAATCATAACAGCGAAATGTTCCCTGAGTGGGCTCAAGCGTACTCATCCTCGGCGTTATTCGCTTCTATCAACCAGGTCTTATTTTAATCAGTTACTACACTAAATAATTGTAGCAATATGAATCACAAATACAATAAAATGTATAATCAACCTTATGATCAATGCCAGCATGGGAATATGGGACCCAGTATAGACGAGATGATGCCAGGTCAACAAAGTGAGATCCCGGCGGTGACGACGGAAGCACAGCAAGCTGAGCAAGAAGTCGTCGCCGACTATAAGACCAGGGTTCCTCAGCTTAGTAGCCAATAATGTCAAAACATGATTCCATGATTTATTTATTTACGTATACCGTTTTATGTTATTATTTGTTCCACCTTTTTTTTTATGAGACGTTGATAAAAAGGAAAAGTCGTGTGATTTGTATACCAATTTATCAGTAAAAAGTTAAACATTTCATAATTTTAAAGTTGTTCTAAGAAAACTACAAAACAGTTTTTTCTTCTTTTCTTGGTAAAGATAGCTACTGAGATGAAATTTTTACAAAAAAAAAAGAAGAAGTAACTTTTACTAGTCATTTTCCTGTTTATTTTACCATTATTATAATGTTTATCCTACCAATTCAGTTTGGTATTTCTCAGCCACACATCAATAACTGAAAATAAAGGTCCAGATTGGGTATTATCCATAAAATGAAACACGTACAAAGCTTTTTGGTTGCATAGAAATACATAAACATCTTTTCCACTATATTTACATATCAATATAAAATAAATGTTTTTGGATTTATTAAAATGAATCATTTCATAGTAGAAATTATTAAGTTAATGGATTTTCAACTTTAATACAATTGGTGATAAATTTAATGACTCATTAATTTTATATATTAATTGAGATTTCTTTTTTGATTTTTTTTTTAATATATGAGAATTTCTAACAGAAAATCAGTTAGTGATATGTAGAAGGACTCATCTTTTTGTTTAGAAGATATTCCAAAAACAATAGTGTACATATTTAGAAAGGAAAAAAGTTTCTTCTTCTTTTTGTAGAAATTGAAAAAGAGCACTGTTATAAAAGGTTAACAATATCTTTTAATTTTTTTTTTTATAAATCTCTTCTTTATAATTAGAGAATTGTCATTACTAGGATATTTACAATCCACATGTTCATTTATGAATGCATACATTATCTCAACTGTAAAGTGAAATGAAAATTTTCTTAGACAATTTTAGTAAGAGTATTAAAATAATAAATGAGAAAAATTACAATATGGTATTTTACTTAAAATCTAGATTTTGCACCAATAAATGTAAAGTATGCAATAATCTAAGTTAAGCTATTTTTAGCTCTTCTTATCAAAAGTATGACTTTCAAAATGCATCGTTTGTGTCAAATACATGGGCTTTTTCAGAAACTAGACAACACATAAATACACATGTATAAAGGTATGTTTCTCACTATTTATACATCCACCCCTCTCAAGTTCTGTTTTATGTTTTTTTTATTGTTTTAGCAGTCTCTTGCTTCCCATTTGAACATATCAGAGCACGTTATTTAAAAGAAAAGGTATATACAATTTGTCTCACATATAAAATTTATCATCATTTCCTACAGAATTGAATCTTCACTAGATCATATTTTGTAAAAAGCCTTCCTTGTAGATAATTGACTAGATCACGATGTGTGCATTCGCGCGGATTTTATTTTTGTTTAAACAAATTATATATGTATTTTATATTGTTTAGTTTATATACGTCTGAGTTTTTTATACTTATTTATATGATTAAACAATTCTATTAAAACTGTATTTTGTATTAATAGTTTTTTTATAAGTGTATTATAGATTTGCTTGCGGTGAAAACATTAAATCTATATTAACCAATAAGATTTGGATTAAAAATAATATCTTAGTTTTTTAAAGAATAGAAGTTTATTATATCTAATTAATCATTTTAGATTTTCTTTTTATTTAGATTTGATTAGTGAACAATTTAGATTTTTTCGGAGAATCTTTTTTACCTTTTCTCCATGTTTTCAAATTTGATACTCGGTTATATAAGTATCCATATTAAGATATGAATAAATCTTGGGATATATAGTTTAATTATCTCTGAATATATTGGAAGATTTTAATAAAACTTTTTTGTTTTCGTTTTAACATATAATTATAAACCATGTTGATAATCCAGAATTCCTTGGGGGGGGGGTGGGGGTTTATAATATGGACCGATGTATATATAAACTAAAAAATAAAAATATTCAGACCAAATAATTTTTATATTAAATTTAAGAATTTAAGAATATATTTCACAAATTTGTATGTTATATACTATTTTTTAGATTTTTAGAAATTTTAAACATATTTGAAATTTTAAAATTTTAAAATAATTAAACGGGTTATCCGAATCCAAACCAGCAAAGATCTAAAATAAATCCAAACCTAAATTTATAAATATTTGAATGGAGATGAAAGTTTTAACCTCAAAAACTCGAAGCCTAAATAAATTTGAACCGAATTCATATGGCTTTTGAATATCCATCCCTAGTTTAGAGTTTATCGTACAGTAAATATGGACAATGAGAATGTAGAGTTAATCAATTATATAATATTGAATTTAATAGTATTGAAATAGAATTGGTAAATAGTATATTGATAGTATCAATAAAAATATTAATAGATGTAGATTGACAAATTGTTTGCAAAACAAGAGGGAGAATCTATAATATAGTTTGTTTGATAATGGAAGTATAGTAAATATTTTTTTTTTTTTTGATCAAGTATAGTAAATATTTATAGATTAATATATTGGTTGAACGATGTAATGAATACGGAGGAATTACATTCTAATTGGAAATACTAGATGAGAAGTGGAAAAAAATGATTATAGTTGTTAGTTAACGATTATTTAAGAAAATATTTGATTAAAAGTTAAATTAAGAATTAAGATATCTTAAATAATTGGAGGTACAACTTTGAAATCTATATAGAATAAGTTGTAATGTTTATGTTTTAATAATATAGATGAAAAGATTTTTGTTATATGACCTAATCAGCTTGGACGTAACTTGTTTATGCTATGGGCCGGTTTTGTTATTACCGTATTTACCATCTGAAAGTTGATGATTTACTATGGAACTTAGCTCTTACCCCAGTAATTATTTGATTTATTTTAATGCTTTTTGTTGATATGATTTCATACTACCGCATTTTAGTCTAAAATTTCTTTTAAAACTATTTTTAATAAGCATAGCCACACAAAAATGGTTTTGCATAAGCAATTTGTGGTAATTTTATGTTTGATCAGATTTTGAAAATTGCAGTGTTGTTTAAACATGACTTCAAGTGATGATCTTCAATTTTCATTGGACACCAACTTCTCTTTGTTCTCGGACCCGTCCGAAACTTCTAATGCTCTCACGGTATATATTTTCATCTCATACCTTTTTATCTTTTAAAATTAACTGTCGTTTTTAGTGTAAATATATACGTTATGCATATAATTTGCTTAAACAGATCAGGGTTCAATCTGTTTGATATATGAACTAGGTGTTTTGCCCGCATTCGCGGGCTTAATAATTTTCTAATATCTATAAACAAATATAATCAATTTAAGTAAATTATAATAAATTATTGTTCACACACTCAAAATATTTAATAATAATCTATATAAATTTTTTCATCATCATATAAATAATTGTCATTACACAAATTAAATGTGAAAGTACTCATAAATTTAAAATATTTAGTAATAAATTAATATCATTTTAATTATATTTACTACCCTTAATGACAAAGTAAACATAAACTTAATGACTAATTAGATTTATTACTATATAATGAATAATTAGATTTATTATAATCATTAGTCTAGATAATGATAATCATCAAATCATAAGAAACATGACAAATAAGATTTGTTTATAATTATTATATAGTAATAGATCTAATTAGTCATTATATAGTAATAAATCCAATTAGTCATTAAGTTTATGTTTTGTTTTGTCATTAAGAGTAGTAAATCTAATTAATACACAGCTCATAATTATATCATAATAATTTTATTTAGTCATTAATTAAGGGTAATAATTAATTATTAGTCAAAATCATTAAAAACATGATAAATAAGTATAAATACATAAAATTATGGAGAATATAATAAATCAGCAAAATCACTTTTTTAAATATAATTAATTTATTGTTACTTATATATTAATTCAGTTTTAGTTTATGGTTTATTAATATCAACTATTTTTAGATAATAATAGTCATCAAATCAGTGAAATTTGTTTCTAATTTATGGTTGATTATATATTAATTAAAATATATTTTTCTGATAGCAACACAATATATATAGGAATTATCATAATATAAAAAAAGTTAGATAAGGATAATTATCAAATTCATGAAATTCGGTTTTAATTAGAATTAATTATATATTAACAAATATAATTATTTTTCAAGGTTGATAAAGACTTTATAAAATAATATAATTTTTTTAAATAAGGATAATTATCAAATAAATGAAATTCCTTTTTAATTTATAATTAATTATATATTAACAAATATAATTAGTTTTCAAGGTTAATAAAGATTTTATAACCCAATATAAAATAGTTTTAGATAAAGATAAATCTAAAATCCTTGAAATTTGTTTTTTACTTATGTTTAGTTATATATTGAAATTTTTAATTATTCATTAAGGGTATAAACGATATTAATCAATCTAACTTTTAACGTGAGAGCTCCGATGCGAAAAATCACTTCGCAAATAATAGTATTGATATGTTATCATTTTCAAGGTGCTTGTATATCTTTTTTATTATTTAAATATCTCGCCATCTACTCAATTTGTTCAATATTCAGATGACTCAGATGGGGAGTAGTGTACAGCAAGTTGAGAGAACTAATGGGCCAACAAATCTCAATCCTATGTTTCAAGATCATCCTTCTTTGTATTCATCAACTTATAACATTCCTTTGCCTCTTTAAATATATAAAAATCTTTAGAATTAATTAATAGTAATACAATTACCAGTCCATGCAGGTTTCAGGAAGAGCGATATGATGAAGACTTACTACTTGAAAAGCTACACCATATTCATAGAAATGATCAGATGCACCGACCTGAACCATCGAACATGCCTATGCCACCATACGTGTAAGAAAACAACTTAGTGTTTTTCCAAATTAGATTATCTACTTTTTGCTCTAAAAAACGAAAAATATTATCTACATTTTATTAAACTTAAACTAACTATAAAAGAAATTATAATTATTTAATTTTAAATGATAATTGTTATTTAAATAGTTTAGTAAAAATACAAGATGTTGAACGAAGAAACATGAGAATATGATTGGTGAGATCATATAATAAATAAAATACTTGTTTGAAATACTAATATAACTAAAATTTTAGTTTGTAAAATAGAAATACATTACAAACGCAATTGTCACATAGTATATGTTTTCATTCACATATTGTTTTGAACCGTTTGTATTAAAAAAATTGCAGTTATTCTACAATATGCGTTTTCTCATAAAACTCGCACTTAAACTATTTTGTAGTATTAGAACCGTTTATTTCGTACCACTCAGTCTAGTCTGCTGTTACTAGTTAGAGTCTTAGTTGTGCTTGATAAATCTTATCCAAATATTTTAGAAGGGGGGAGGGGTTGGTTTATCAATTAACAACAGGTTAATTCCTTATGCCTCGTCTATAAACACTATACCGAATCCAGAGTATCATACCCCCATGATTTCTTACACTCATACCCCCCAAAACATAACTATAATGATTTTCACTACTTGGTTTGTGTATATATGATTAAATTAGATTCTCTTACAGTTGTAGAATTTCTTGAATGACAGGTCAGAAAGCTATTCACCATTTGAACAGTTAAAGCTTATTCATGAAAATGATCAGATGCACCGACCTGAACCGTCCGACATGCCTATGCCACCATATGTGTAAGAAAACAACTTAGTATTTTTAAAATTAAATTATCCGCACTTTTATTAAACGTAAAGTTCTTAATAAATATTTGTCCAAATATTTTAGGGGGACTATGTTAAGCAATCAACACCGGATTCCTAATGCCTCGTATTCAAACACTACACCGAACCCAAAGTATCGTGTCCCCATGATTTCAAACAATCATATCCCAAAAACGTAGCTATAATGATTTTTTCCCACTATTTAACTTTTTTTATATTTGCTTAAAAATTATACTATTAGCTTACATTTGTAGAGTTTCTTGAATGAACCACAGGCCAGAAAGCTATTCACCATTTGCGCATACGTCATATCAGTCTGACCCATATGCTTTTAATTTCCAAAACTCAAGCTCATTACAAACCACTTCTCGTCGACCCCGTGGAAGGTAACATATGAATGCTTCAGTATTTTTATGATCAAATGTTTAAAAAGAAGATATAATATCTTCAAATTTTTATCAGGCCAAGGAAAAATCAGATTCCGATGTCTTTGGTATGTACAAATCAAACGCTCTTCACCTCTCCCAGGTACTAAGTTTCCCTACTAGCACAACTTAATATAACTATAGCCAGTTTAACACACTGTATTTGATTGCTAATATTGCATAAAACATGCCTTTTTAATTTAGACATCATGGCATACAAGATAAGGGGAAACAACCTATTACAACAATGCCGTTTTCGAACCTAACTCTCTACAATCAATATCAAAATTCATACACAAACATAATGACCCAGCAGGTGTTTTTTTTTATCTTATCATATTTTTTTTCTGATAACCAGAAAGTTTTGAGCCATGTTTGTACATCTCCTTGGACCCGGGATCCAAGCATGTACATTTTATACTTTGGTTAATTTTCAGTCTTATTGTTGGATAAAATGCATTTTGTCCAACTTGTTAAGAGCATCTCCAAATCTATTCTATTTTTACTCCAAAATAGATTAACATGAAGTTTGGAGTAGGGAATGCTTCAACTCTACTCTGTTTTTTTCATTCCATTATAGAGTAAAAGATGAAATTACTCCATTTATGGAATAATGGTTTTATTTGTGTTCATTGTTCCATTTTTCATTCTAAAATCAAGTAGAGTTGGAGTAAACTCAACTTTATAATAGACTTACTATATTTTGAAGTAAAAATGGAGTGGTACATTGGAGATGTTCTAACAATGAAAAATATATATAACCACCTTGAAGAATGAGATTATTTCTAGTTATATCAAATATAATCATTGTGTCAAATATTGCGCAGAGTGGAGTTTTAAGACAACGCAGTTGTTATGATCAACTTGAAAATGAAATCTCATCCTCTAAAACAAGCGTATAGACATGCGCTCTCTCATACATTATATATAATTCATTTCTTTAAGGCACGAAAACTTTAGGAGTGTGAATTAACTAAATCATGAATACTGCAGAGGATCATGGGAACTTTCCAAGAAAAATCAATAGCAGATTCGTCGACGGTTTCTTTTTGGCAAAATAAAAACATGCTTTCAAGTGCAGGCTATGCAGCTAATCACCATGAAGAGAGGTTTGTGTATACCAAGTTTCCAACCATAAACATATTAAGTCTTTGACCACAAAATATATCAGTAATATTAGTTGGAACATATTCTTAAGCACGCATCCCGAAAATAAATAATTTTTGTCTAGTCTGGTAAAGTTCAGTTCAGTTTTTTTGGTTAGAATCTCAAATTCAAGTCATAAAGGGGAAACAATAGTTATAGGAACATTACTTATACAGTTACGTATTATTTCAGGTCTACACAAGTTGCAGTATACGATCCAATGTACGCAAGTATTGGCTTACCCATCGATCCTCACTTAAGGTTCCTTTTTCTAGACTTATTCGAAACTCTTTTTATATTTTACCCATGTAATTTAGTGTCAGTTTATAATTTTTTTTATAGAAAGAATCAGTATATAATATAAAAAGTAATCACCAAATATTTGTTTTTGATGAACCAAGTATAAACTAATCACCAAGTATTAGAACATCTCCAAAAAATACTAGATTTTAAAGTTTGCAAAATTCTATATATGAAATTTGTAGGTGTTATGATCCAAAAGTAAAACTTCAAACTTAACTTTAAAAATATTTGTATTTTACACTATGGTCCTTATATTTGTCATAATTAGTTCAAATTCATAAAACTTTTATAAATAACTATCACATATATAAAAATATTACAGCAATACTAAATGAGAAAATGTTACATTAAAATATGAAATTATTAATAAAAATATATAATTAAATATTAAACTATAAATAAAATACCATATTAAGTCTTGTAATATTGTTGTTTTCTAGTTTAAATATAGCTATTTTGAATCTTGTTGTTGTTGTTTTAAAAAAAAACAAATATGTGTAAAATTTGAATTTATAAAAAAATTGAAATATTTATGAGATAAGAATTTTTAAAAATTAAAATGATAAACCATAAAATATTTAAGGATACAAATGCAAATAAAAATATGAAACTTAAAATTTGAAATTTTAGAGTTCTTTTTTAGAGAATCAAAAACTTCATATTTGAAGTTATAAAATATTTTTTGAAGATGCTCTTACATCGTAATCTTTTGTATCTTCTTTTTTATCTGTTTGCAGGGCATATTGCATGTTTGGAAAGCCAATATGGTTTATTGACGGAAAAAAAGTATTTCAAGACAATCGCTCAGAACCATATAACCAACTAAAGATGTATTAGTTTCAAAAAGAAAAAAAAAACTAAAGATGTATTCAATATAATATACAATAATATATGTTCGTAATAATAATACTCCCTCCGTTCCTTAAAGATACATATTCTAGAAAAAAATTTGTTTTTAAAAGATCCATTCTTTACATTTTCAATGTATATTTTATTAAATAATTGTAAACTTCAAAAAACTTAATTGTACTAATTGATTTTTGATTGGTTTAAAATTATGGAAAGAAGATAAATACAAAAAACTATGTAAATTTATTGTGTTTTATTAAAAAGTGTGAAAAAACTAGAATATGATTTTTTTAGGAACAGAGAGAGAGTACTATCTCTATTCTGTGGTGCAGTTGCACTTGCACGTATGAGCGAGGTGTAGGACAAAAGAACATGCATGTAGTTAAGATTATTATTATTGATAATAATTAGATCTGACCTTGTTACAAACAAAAAAAATCTGAAATTCTCACACTGTGCATGGACTATATATTTGTGGTATTCAGTATGCGAGACTCTAACTTCTTGGAAATAGGAGTAAACGAAAAGAAGAGTTTATAGCCTTTAATGGCAGAAAAGGGCAAGCAACATTAATGATGGACCAATAGAGAGAAAATTTAGTATTTCCTCCGATACGAAAAATTGTAATTTTAAAATTTTTACACATTTTTAAGAAAAAGTTAAATACTAAAAATGTTACTTTAAACAGAATTTGACTGTTTTTAGTTTCTCTGTTATTTATACTCCCTCCATTTTTAAAAAAACTTCATTTTGACATCTTTCATACAAATTAATAAAATGATTGAATACATTTATATTTTTATTAATTATACTTATTTGACAAAGAATATATGAGATAAACACAAAATTTATAAAAATAATGTAGTTTACGATTAATATAAGATGAAAGTGACATTGAAATTCTAAAATGAAGTTCTTTATATAACAAGAACGAATATTAAAAAAATATAGATGGGTATATTTCGATCTTTCAGTAAATTAAAAAGAACTTTACTTTAATAAATGAATACATAATTCACACAATCATACAGAATTCCATACTTAAGTGAATTGCATTTTTTGCCATAAATAATTTAATATCCGTTTTGTATATTTTTTTCTTAGCGAAAGGGCTTTCAACCATTTTGTATATTTTGAGTTCTTTTTTTTTTGCCGAGTAAATTTTCAATTCTATCATTATCCTTTGGATGAGGAAATCGTGAATAATAAATTACCAAATTTTTGTTACCATCGAAATGCTGTAAAATAGTTAAACGCGTTATCAACTACCCCAGAGATTAGGAAAGGTTAAGGATTTACATAGGCCGAGAGAAGAATGGCCGACTTCGTCTTATTTTAAGCATTGTCCTCCGTCCTTTTTAATATTTCTTCATTATCTCTTAATCCCAGAAGATTAGAATATCAAACTAAGTGATATCATATCTTGTCGATTCTCTTTCGTTGTGAGTGCATCTGACATCTGTGCATGTATAACAAAAAGTTCGCGTAACGTTCATCCTTTACCTACCTTCAAAGAAGAAAGTTACATGTATACAGGTAAATTAATTTTCAATTTGATTCTTTGAGATTATTGAATCTTCTTTATGTTTGATTGATGATTCACGCGATTTAGATCTGATTAGGGTTCATAATTTTAGTTTTCTTTTCCCGTAGAATTTGGGTTTCAATCGTTGCTCGAATTCTGGAAATTAATAAAATCCTGTGAAAACATCTTCGTGGAAGTCGGCTTCGATTTTTTTAATTTGTTACACATATAATGAAGGTACGCGTAGCTTGTTCGATTTGACCAATGCGTGTATGAATTTAATCATTAAATTAAATAACAAGTCAACAACTTGTTTTTTCAGACAGCAGTCAACAACTTGTTTATTTCGTGAATTGTAGTTGCTTTTTGTGTTCAAGAACGGACGGAATCTGGTTAATTCATAGGAAAAATAGTATGAGAAATTTTTTAGGACAAACCTAAAAAAAAATGTTACAAATATAGATCTTATAAATAAAAATGACCAAAATAGAGTTAAATATCTTATCAAAAATAAGTAGATATAAAAATAAAAGAAATTTGTAATTTTCAAAATAAAAATTTAAAAATTTCTATTCGAGAGATTTGCTCAAATAGTATTTAGTAAAAGACAAACTTTTTTGTTTGTTAAACTTTATAAAACTTTTGGCAACAGAATTTGGCTGCTTTTAGTCTCCCTATTATTTTATATCAATTATTAATCCATACACGTTCCTTGTTAGTGATTTTTATTTGTCCATTATTTTTTCATTGATCGGTCTTTCAATATGAATGAAACGGTAATTAATTGGTTCAAGAGGCTAGAATTTTTTTTGTTTTTTCACAACTTAATTTTCATTAGCTAAACTTCAAACGTACAAAGATAGAGTTGAGTTCTTAGAACTCTTTGATCAGTACAATAAAGGTTAAAGCTTACATAACTAAAGACAGTGAAATAAACTGGATAGATCGACTGCGAATCCTTCTCCGGATGCGTCATGAGAGCATTACCGGTCAAACCAGAATGCTTGAAGAGGCTAGGATCCAATATATATGGACTAACAGTATATATTTAATCACAGCTTGATTCTTACATCTACCAACTTATTTCTAGGCTATCTTTTGCAGTTATACTTTTATATTCTGTGTGGTTCAAAATCTTTTGTAGTTGTACTTGTATATTTTGTGTGGTTCAAAATACCTTAACTTCTGTATCATCTATAAATTTGATTGATTATCAATTTTTGGGTTACATAAATTGTTTTCTGAAGTTGTCGTTTCAGTTTTAAAATAAAATAAATTTGAGGGTCTAATTTAGCAGTGAAATCTAATCATTGTTAATAAGTATTTTTTACGTTTTATAGACTTATTTTGTGTTAATGTATATTTGTATACTTGAAACCCATTAGAGAAAACACACTATCTTTTTATATAATTTTTATACAAAATGGTAGTATCATACAATAGACTATTAATGTAGTAGTGTATGCATATTTTTGGGTTAGAAGAAGAATTCCACTCATTGGATAAAAGAAAGGTGTGAGCAAGGGTGAGATTCAGAATTTCAAAGAAACTTTTATCGGATAGCGACTGGTTTTAATTATTTGATAATGATGACATATTCAAATCTGTCGCAAAAATGTTTATTTGGGCCTATATCTGATCTAACATACATTTCCTTATTTCTTCATTCACAGGAAAAAATACATTAAATGTCACATATTCTCAGTAAATATCTCTTTAGAGCATCTTTATCCCCAAGAAAATGGGGGTGCTTAGCACAAAAAGTAGAGGGGGGGAACCACCAAAAAGAAAAAATCGATGCTTCAGTTGCCCAAATAAGCGCCAGCTTTTCTTGGATGCTTGCACTGTTACGCGGGCCCCACGACACGTGGCGGCCCGCGGTTGGTTCTCTTTTAATTTTTTTTTTTTTTTTTTTAATCAGAAAACAAAAAAAAAAGAAAAAAAAAAAAAAAACTTTTAAGCACTTTTTAAGCACCTAGAGCGATAATCATGCTCTTAGAGACCATGCCTTCCATGACGTCAACACCTTCGCTTAGCTGTCTCCCTATATAAATTCTCTACATGCAACATCCCATTAAATAAAAATCAAAGAAAACACAAAACTCACAAAAAATAAACATTTTTTTGGGTTTTCTTTATTTATTTTAAAATCAAGAACATGGAGAGGGCCTCTTCTTGCTCCTCCAAGTCATCATCATCCATGGCTTCTTGTTCTTCTGATCAGTCTTTTTCCATCAGTTCCGACCAAACCTCATCTTTCGTGACGTCATCCATGCTCTCCCGCACGTCATCATCTTCTTCCTCCGCCGTGGGAGACTACATAGGGACAGAGAGCTGCTTCGACGTCCTCTCAGCCGACGAAGAAAACGACGTAGTCTCCTCCTCAGAGTCTATGAGCCGGTACCGTTACGGAGGAAGGAGGAGAGAGGAGAGGGAAGCTAGAGCCGCCGCGGCGCGTGAGTTTCCTCCGCCGATACCGTCGCTTGCTCAGACGGAGAATCTTCTCCCGCACATGCCGTGGGTTCTCAAGAGGGTTGTGACGAGCGACGGGAGGCTTATCTTGAGAGAGGAGAAGGTTCGTCATCACGAGTACTTCCGTGCGCATAGATCCAATGGCCGTCTCACTCTCCACCTTGTTCCTTTAGACGATGACGTTCTTGAACTTCCTCAAGAGCCCTCTCATTACCAATCTGATGATGATAATGATGATGATGATGATGATTATGATCACGAGGATGATCATGAGCATGATCAGTGTAATGAGGTGGTGGATGATTTGGATGAGCTGGCGGATAATGTAGATAAGAGTGTCATTATTACTGCCCCTGAAGATAAAGATGGTGTTATCCATAATTGTGATGATGATGATAAGGGTAATGTGCATGGAGGTAGTGAAGATGGATATAGGAAAGGTATATTAGCGGCGGTGGCCGGTGAGACTGTGGTGGAGAGCGGAGGAGGAGGATCGCCGAGAGGAAAGTATTTGAAGTCTTGTTTTGTTGGTATGATAGTTGGAGAGATCATCAGACCAGTTCTTAGTTGATTGTTTATTGGTAATTAGTACTACCAATTACTAGCTTCCTTCGTTTCTTTGTGGAAAACAGATATTACTATGGCTGAGAGTTTAAACAAGTATTACCGGCTTAATTTGTATGAATAACAGAGGGTTTTAAACTTTAAAATTTTCAATAAGAATTTGTTTCTTGTTTTTTTGTATTTTTCAGTGTACTTTATCTTCTTTGAGGGTTTTGTACGATATTGAAAAAACTTTTTAGTGGGTTTATAGTTTTGTCGGTACGTGAGATCAGGCCAGTTCTTAGTTGATTGTTATTGTTAATTAGTACTACCAATTAGCTTCTCCGTTATTTTTTGTGTGGAAAACAAATAAATGCTATCGCTGAGAGTTTAAACAAGTATTACCGGCTTATAAATTAAAAGACGTTTTTCAATAATGAAGGATTTGTTTCTTGTTTTGTATTTTTCAGTGTAATTTATTATCTTCCTGGAGGGAATTTTGTTCGATATCTAAAAAAAAAAATTTAGTGGGTTAATAGTTTTTGTCGTTAGCATGAATGAGAAGGATTTATTTGCGAAAGAACTAAAAATATATCTTCTCTATTAAAAAAGAAGTATTATTTTTATCTATTATTTAGAAGTCTACTATGTCCATATATTAAAATATCAAAACATTTATATATATCTTAATTACTAAATTAAACACGTGAACCATATTTCTTTTATAATTACATTTATTTAACTTAATAATAATCTATCCTATATTAAGCAAGTAGTTGGTTGACAAAAAAAAAACACAATCTATTTATATTATTCACTACAATTATTATCCACAAACTAAGCATCTTTCGATTGGTAAACATAAGCCAAAATTTAAAAAAAATTTGAACATAATATATTATATCTTTTAGGTTTCGCTGGCCATAACATAAAATTCATCTCATATTGAATCATGATAATATTAAGTCTCAATGATCTTGAGTTCTTTTGGGGTTTAATTATTTTTCCTTCTATCAAAAGCATGTTCCTTTGTCTGTAGTAGCATAGGTTGAAGACGGCTGCTCTTAATTTTTAACATCGGTTTATTTGGTTTATTTTCCAATCCAACTGTTCAAAAAAAAAAAAGAAATATAGTTAGTTGACTGATATACCAATATATTCATAAAAAATGTTTGACAAGCACTAATTATACGGTAATATCAAAATGTTTGAACAGCTGAAACTTTATTCAAATTTTGAGGAGGAATTATCTTCAGCATCCTTTCATGTTTCAGTAAAGATTGTTGATTTAAATTTAAGAAATCCACTTTATGATTTTTCATGATAAGGTAACTAAAAAAAAAAATTTTAGATCTCGATTAACAACCATTCCTAATTTTTTCTGAATGATTCATAATTATTTCTGATGGATTTAGAATTTTTTTCTAAAGGATTGAGAATTTTTTTGAAGAGCTCAAAATTTTTTCTGAAGGGTTTAGAGTTATTTCGGAAAAGTTCATATTTTTTAATGAATGGTTCATAACTTTTTCTAAAAGATTCAAAAAAAAATGTGAAAGATTCAAAATATTTTCAGAAAGGATTAGAATTTTTCAGAAGGGTTCATAATTTTTTCAGAAAAATTCAAATTTTTTTTTGCAAGGCTCCAGATTTTTTTTTGAAGGCTCCAGAATTTTTTAAAAAGATTCGGAATTAGTTCAGAAGGGTTAAAAAATGTTTTTGAAGGGTTTAAAATATTTTTTTGACCAATTCAGAATTGTTTCTAAAGGGTTTAAAAAAATTTCTAAATGATTCAAGATTTTTTTCTGAAGAATATAATTGTTTTTTGAAGGATTCAAAGTTGTTTCTAAAGAGTTGAATATTTTTCTAAAGGATTTTTATTTTTTTCTAAAAGTTTCAGAATTTTTTTCTAAAGGTTTCAAAAACTTTGTTGAAGTGTTCAGAATTATTTCTAAAGGGTTTAGAATTTTTTTCTGAAAGTTGAGAATGTTTTTTGAAGGCCCAAATTTTTTTTGTGAAGATCAAATTTTTTTTTATGAATGGTCCAAAATTATTTTAGAATCGTTTAGAATTGTTTTCGAAAGGTTCAAAATTGTTGGTCTAATTTACTCTCAATTTTCTCTCGTTAGAACCAATAAACTCATAAATATCATGACGCGATGGATGTAATTAAACATAAAGCTGAAATTAAAATTAAAAAGGTATATAAAAGCCTTTTTTATTCCTTAATTTTTGATTTAGCAAAAAAAAAAAATTGATGTAACCATATTAGTTTAGTATTCTATAGTTCTAAGATCGCAAACTTTAGCCGAGTTTTTCTTGGTGCTTAGCTTTCCGAAGAACCACCGGGTATATCTTCCGCCGTTCTCTTCGTTTCCACCACCGACGGTTGTGGCTGTGGTTGCCGTCAAAATCTTCATGTTTTCTCTGTGTAACTTCCTCGCCGTGTAAGCCATAGCCATCCCTCCTAGTCCTGATCCATCTAGCGACATAATCAACTGATTTAGAAAATTACAGTGAAGTTTTGTAGAGCTTTTTGACAAAATATAACTTGAATATGAAAAAGGAAAAACAGAAAAACAAGAGATGATCAAAGTAAAAGAATGAGTGTTGTTTAGAAATTAGAGGGAGGGGTTGGGATGAATATATAGATAAAATTTGTGGGTCCGTTTATGTTGGAATTTTATATCCTCTGTATCCCACTTATCATACGTTCGTATACATAATATGATGGCGAATCGAATTTATCATATGTTATTGTTGGCTTGGTTGCATGTATTGTCTCCAGTATAAAATCACTTTATCCCGATCAAGCAGAGAACACATCTTCGACTTTATTTAATTCAAGCGAAATAGAATTATGGATGACATCCAACAATATACGATATTCTTTCTTTGAAAAAGAAACCTTAAAAACGTCAGACGAGATGTATTTGATGCAAATCCCACGATTAACAAAAGAGAAACAAAGATTTGATGCAAATCCACGATAGATCCTGATATGATTACATCCACTTTGTACTATGTATAATTCAAAAGAAGGACGTATCAGTGTATAAAAAAAGAACAAAAAGTAGACGTTTATATGTTGAAACTTGAAAGAGACTTTACGAAATCAATGACACACACAAAGACGAAATATTAAACAGCGCACTATTTTTTTTGTTTTAGTTATAATATAATATTACAAGCTGGAAGGATTGTTGAAGTAATGAGCACAGTCTGTCTCATGGTCACTCTTAGTAATCCATATAAAGTGATTATATTATACCGAGGAACAGAACACATTAGTAACATTACATGATTAAAATGCATGATGTTTCTATTATTTACACTTATTTAATCATGTAAAACTTCATACAGTATAACATTAATGCATTTCGCAATTAAGAGTAAAACTACAGTAATATAAAGTCCATTGGAAGTTAAAAAATGGTAATCTTTTTTAACAAGAAAAAATCAAAATGATACCTTCTACGGAAAAAAGAGAAGATAATTAGTATGAACATTTAAAGAGTTGTGTTAGAGAAGCAATAAATAAAATAGTTATTCTGTGACAAAAAAAATACAATAGTTATTTAATTAATTAATTTCTTATATATCAACTCCCATTTGCAATCTGAGTGTGAGTGGGTCGGTATAATAAACTTTATAAAAGATATTCTGGAAGAAAGCCATATAAATCTATCAATGGCCATTAAACATCATACTTTACACTTAAAAGTACTTCAGAAAATCAGGAAAATCAGGAAAATCAGGACGATAATGCGTTTGTTCTTTTGATTCCTCCTAGATTTCAAGAATTTGTTTCTTTAGCGTCTTTGGTCCCATATATGTACTATATAATATACAAGAAGCAACGAAAATGATCAAAATCAGAATAGATAACCGATTTTTATACTTGCAAACTGTTGTTTTCAATTAAAAGAAACTAATGGGAGGGGGGGGGGGAGTGTATACAAAACTAAAAGTGCCTAAAATTAAGTACTTAAAATTTTAGTCTTGTCTTGATCAAAAAATATGAAAGAAGATTACTTAATCTGAATATGAATCTACATCAGCTAATTTTGGGTATAGGCCCATCAATGTTATTGTTAATGCTTAAGCAAGTTCTTAAACATAAGAGTTCAAGAGCTTGTTCCATCCATTTGAAAGAACTTAAAAGAACATTGCTGAAGCTCAATGCCATTCGTGCTCGTGAAAAGACGAACTATTAAGCCTCAAGTTTGCAGAAGTTGAAGAAGAGAGACAAAAGCTGACGATGACTCTGAAGAAAGAACGTAAGAGTATCCAAGAAAGCGATGCTATTATAAACTGTTCATCATCAGCAACTCTTGGTGAACATTTAGTGTACAGATGTTACATATGTCCCAAGAATGTTGATTAAGTCAAAGTTCTAACAGTGGTCACAAGTTATAGATAGCTTAGTACATGATCTCGACCCCTTTTAGATAAAACAATTTAAGTAAAAAATGAAAATTATCAACCACACAAATGAAAACTAAAACTCTGTAATGAAGTTGTTAAATGGATCATCACCCAGTGCTATATGTTATCATGAAGGATAAAAATATTTATGATCCAATTTACTTGCAGCTACAAAATGGTGCACGCGCAGCCGTTCTTCATCGGAGGGTCATTTTGAGTTTTTTATGTGAAACAAGGAGAAAAGTTCATATAATGACATGATCTATTGATCTCAAACCTTTGAAACATGGAAGTTTTGGAAGCTTAATTACAAGAGGATTCAAGGGATGTATTGAAAAAACTTACCGCTCCTTTTGTGTAGAGTAGGAGGGGGAAGAAGAAGATGTATTGTGGTGATCATTCCAACGGGAAGGCTGGACTCTGCGAGTGTCCTATTGTTGTCAAGTATTTTCCCGGCAGTGATGAGCTTCACATCATTAACAGTCATTGGAGTATAGTCTGAGTCTGTCAAAAACAGAGATAAACACTTGAAATATACAGTTCCATGATACAGTGACTATAAACCTAACAAGAAAAGAGACTTCTAAGAAATTAAGAAGAAAAGAGAGACACTTTTGTTGAAAGTTGTCTTTGAGCAGCATTTAATTTGTCAAGTGAGATATTTTTCTACCTAATCCACTACCTGAATCCTTCATATGACTTGTCTACCCCTAGCTAATCTCACAATTAAGCTGACTTTTCTTTTTGATTAGTGATAATTTGTAACAAAAAATGAAAAATGTATAGTTAATATGCTTGTGAATTAACCTAATTTGTTTAATGGTACTGATATATATATATATATATATATGTTTAACCAGACAAGAATATATTCGTTATATCTATGATGCAAATAATAATAAGCCTAAACTCTGGCCATGTTGTTGTACAGTATCGAAATGTACAAGTGGATTTCAATTATTTGATTTATATTTAAGTGAGTACTGATACTCTTCACAATTAATTTTTATAAGAAAATAATTTGTTATTCCCCTTGCCCCCATCCCCGCATATTATCTCAATTATGTAGCATTTTGTTCCTTTAGTACGTTATGATTTGTAACAAGGGGTGTAATTCAAGAATTTTTGGATGAATGGCAGCCACCAACTATATATATAAGCCTAACTACTTTAAGTCTTTAACTAATTTAAGAGATGGGAGTATTTAATAACATCATACCCTCCTCCTACCTCATAACATAGCAACGTAAGAGCATAGTTACATACTTACATAACATTTTATTGCATATGCTTACATGCCAGCCAAAGCCAGAAGAAGTATTATAAATCTTAGGCAGAACATATCATAAAGCATCAAGCACTTGTATTTCGCTGTACACAGAGACTATCAATGCTACACAAGAAATGTGCAAATAATCATTGCTTTTCATATATCTATAACTTGGCAACTAACAAGTTCAGCAGCACCTAAGTCCTTACTTGCAATGGCTGTCCATAAAACACTGTCTGACTTGTTATCTACATTGCCCTTTTCCTTCAAAGAGCATGAACCCAAAACAGCTTTAGAGCTAGACAATGATGATGATGAAGAGCCTTGGATCTCATTCACATCTGCCCTTAACACTGTAACGTTACAATCAAAATCTCTAGTAATAAAATGAAGCTTCCCATGAAACCCAGCAAGCAAAAAAGAAGATTTTGAATCTGTCATATCATAAACAGGTACTTCACCTATAACAACTCTCCAAACATCTTCCTTTTGATCATAAACCTTAATCTTCCCACTCTCCACCAAAGAAGAAGAAGAAGGATCAAAACAATATAACTCACCACCCACCACAACACTCAGCTTCGTACCAGCTCCCTTTGCAGGCCAGCCTTGACCCATACCAGACGGCATCTCACCCCAGAGACTCCTCTCCGGATCATAAACCTTTCCTCCAGCATCAAAAAAGAAAGGACAAGAGTATAAACTCTGAGTAACACATAACCTACCGTTGTAACAAGTCATCCCGGTAACAATAGGCTTCAACAAGTCAGCCAAGAACTCGTTAGGCAACACTTGGGCCTTTGAGAAAGGAATGTTCGGAACCTCTGACCAAACATCAGTCTCTGGATCGTAAACCTCAGCTGTCTGAACCGGATATAAACTTCCACGTCGACTCTCAACACCTCCAACAACATAGAGCTTCTTATCCAACACCCCTGTTCTGGAATAAGCACGGTTCGCCAACATGGTACTCACTTCACTCCAAGAGTTGAGAACCGGATCAAACCGCCAAACCGAGTTCACGGTTTTAGACCTAGAGAGCCCTCCAAGAATATAGAGACACCCGTCAATGGAACCAATAGCAGAGCCACAGAAAGGCATTTGCTCAGACTCAAACTCAGAGGCCTCCGCTTTTCTACCGAGTAAGCTCCTCACGAGATTCCACATACTACTTGTAGTAGGTTCATCTTCGTAAACAATAACAGGCATAGGAGGCAGTCTCTGCCATCTTGTAGAGACAGGATCTAAAGCGTGCAACGAAAGGTTACCCTCTTGGCTTTTAGTCAACAGATAGAGCCATTCCTCTGTTCTTCCAAGCTCTTTCCTTAGAGTAAACAGCTCAGGGGTCGATAGAGCTGATCTCCACCTCCGTGAAACTAATTGAACATTGGAGTAGCAGATTCTTGGGAGCATAGCAAGAATCTGTAAAGATAACTCATCAGGAAGATTTGGAATCAATCTGGAGTAGTCTTGATCGTTAGATGGACATGTCTTTCTTGTTTCGCAAGATTCGTTTGAGAGTTCCTCTTCCCCTTTCGTCTTGGGACAGCTCAAGCTCATTACAGAACCCATGAGTAAGTAGCTCAAAAAATCAAGAGTCGCTGCAAGGGACAAAAAAAAATTAAAATCAAGAACACATACAAGCCTAGTTACATACTTAGTGATGATTTAGAGAGAGATCAAGGAGACAAAGAGAGTTTCAACAGACATGAGAATCTCTTACCGAAGCAGCAAAAGACAAGACATCGCAGAGTTAGATAGAATCTCTCCCTTACCAAATTCATCTTTCGGAATTGTCTTTTTTTTTTGTTTCCAAGTTTGAGTTTGGTCGTTGAGTCATTTGACGCACGACTTTCCTTTTTAAATTTTTTTTGTTTTGTTTTGTTTTGTTGTGTAATTTTAATGGTGACCGTTGGATTGATGACACGATGTGAGATGTATAGAAAGTTAGGTAATCCGGTCTGCTCCTCTTCCAAGTCAACTAAAATAATTTTTATAGTTGATAATAATTATTGTTGGATGAAATAACAAGCTGTTGACACTAAGCAGTAAGCACACTCCTGAATATTTTTTATTCTCTGCTTTAATATAATTCATAATGCACTAATTAATTACTTAAAAACCAAAATTTTATGAACCGGTTTGGTATTTGGTTTAGAAAAGAAAGTTACTATATTCATTTTTTATTTTTCTGATTTTAATTTTTAAAATTATATAAAACATGATTGATAACTTTTATGCTTGTATAAATATTCTAAAAACAAAGATTCTTAGCCATGTTTCAAAAAAAAAAAAAAACTAAAGATTGTAAGATTATAATCTTAGAAGAGCTACGTGTATTGTTCACAAAAAAAAAGAGAGCTACGTGTAATAATCCGCAGGGTTCAAAACCTACTGCACATAGCCTATCCGCGTCGGCCCGTCCCTTACGTTCCGAGTCTTGTTTATGGAATCTAATTTGGGCCTAGGCCCAGTAACTTCGAAAGCAAAATTTACTTTTTCCCCAAAATCGTCATATATAGAATCAGAGCCGAACTGAGTCTGATTCACGATCTATCGAAGCAGAGCGGTGTTGAAAAACCCTAGAGCACAGAGGAAATCGATTCGTCGTAGTTGCGAGTGATGGATATCGAACAGAAACAAGCGGAGATCATCGATCAGCTCGTTCGCCGAGCTTCTACCTGCAACGGCGAGTCCCTCGTGCCTATCATCGTGGACGCTACATCGCATCCTTCTCTCTTCGCCTTCTCCGAGATTTTGGCTCTACCTAATGTCGCTCAGGTTGTGAATGCTTGCTTTGACCTAATAATCGGCGATCTAGGGTTTCTACTGCTTGATTGCTTTAAGAATATTTGTTTTTACTCTATTTGTTGTTGAGTTAGCTAGTAATCTAACTAACTCCACAAGAATTCGCTAGGTAGTGGTTAGACGCCTTGTAGAAAATTATTGTTTAGGCGAACGCTTTGACGGATTATTGTTTAGGCGAATGCTTTGAGGGATTATTGTTTAGGCGAATGCTTTGACGAGTTATTGTTTAGGCGGACGCTTTGACGGATTATTGTTTAGGCGGACGCTTAGACGGATTATTATTTAGCCTTATGGTTTAGACGGATTATTATTTAGCCTTATTGTTTAGACGGACGCTTAAACGGATGCCTTATAGATAATTATTGTTTAGACGGATATTTTTTTGTTGCATTGCAGCTTGAAGGAACCTCGAATGCTGTGTACCTGGATGTTCTAAGGTTGTTTGCATATGGCACCTGGGGTGACTACAAATGTAACAACCTCTACAACCTTTTGAATGTTTTATTCAGTATATTTGTGCCAAACTTTCTTACCTTTTTTTTTTTTTGGTTTAATAAACGTAACGCGTAGGTAATGCTAGCCGTATCCCACAGCTGTCTCCTGACCAAATTCTGAAGCTTAAACAGCTCACTGTGCTTACACTTGCTGAGTCAAACAAGGTATTGTATTGTACCTAGCTTGCTATGTTTTTTGTTTCACCACATGTATCTCACTTTGATTGTTAATGATTAGGTGCTGCCTTATGATGCACTGATGGTTGAGTTGGATGTCACCAATGTTCGTGAACTCGAGGACTTTCTTATCAATGACTGTATGTACGCGGTGAGTGCTCTTTAAGCAAATATCTCTTCTTTATCTAATGCAGAAGTGTTATACTGACTTTGCTATACAATCTTCCAGGGTATTGTTAGAGGAAAACTGGATCAGTTGAAAAGATGCTTCGAGGTGTGTCGTCTGTCTGGTCAACCCCTGTGCTTTTTGTTTTAACTTTTCTGAGTGTTATATATCTTGGAACTATGCAGGTTCCATTTGCAGCTGGTAGGGATCTGAGGCCAGGACAACTTGGGAATATGTTACACACCTTGTCTAACTGGTAGTTCCTTTTGACCTAGCTTTCTTCTTCCCTTGGTTCTCATTAAACAGTTTCTGCCTTGCTTAATTTTTGTACACTGTATTTGTGTAGGTTGAACACATCAGAAAATCTTCTCGTTTCAATTCAAGACAAGATTAAATGGGCGGACAACATGAGTGAGATGGACAAAAAACATCGCAAGGAAACAGAAGAAGGAGTCGAAGAATTGAAGAAGTCTCTGTCCATGAAGGTCAGTGATACGCTTTGGAGGCATAAGGGCTTCACTATTCCCTACTAAATGTATAATGTGACTGATTATGGTTTAGTTTGACTTTGGTTTACATAAAGTTGGAGTCTGGTTAGCTTTAACTGAAATGGGTTTTATCAAGGGTGGTGGTTGATGTAGTCTTACTTACATTGTGGGCAGGGGGATATCGGCGGCAGAGGGCATAATGAGATGTTTGGGGAACCAAGTGGAGTGATGAACTACCAAGAAGATGGAATCCGACCAAAGAGGTAACATACCAGTTAATTGTTTCTCATGATACAAGTATTATATGATCTTGTACAAACAAGAATAAAAAGATGATAAACACACACATTCACCTTGGGCAGCAGGAGAAGGCCAGTGAGAAGGTAGAGAGATGAGAGTTTGTGTTGATGGACGTGTCATTTACGTTTGGTGGCAGTTTTTTATTTCTTAGCATTTTATTTCGACTTGTATAATGAATGATCTCGTCGTCTCATCTTTTTCTCAATGCAACTACAAATTTAGCGGTTATTTGGCCCAAACTGATATAAATAGAGAAGCAAAAGTTGGTTGAATTAATACCTTTCATCGAACAAATGCTGGAAACGAGAACTCAGTATTGTTTCTAGTTCATCCTTTGATGATATATTCAGAAAAGATAAAAGTTAATTAATATTCATGGTAACAAATACATCTCAGTTCTGCCCTACTTATTTCTCTACTAACATCTTCAAAAAACTCTTTATAACTTCAAATATAGAATTTTTTACTCTTAAATTTTTTTTTCAAATATAAAGTTTTTTATTCTCCAAAAAGAAGAAACTTCAATTTTGAAGTTTTTTCTTTTATTTGCAACTTGATTCTTATATTTATATATCTTATTTACAATTCTTAACTATTTTCTTATTTATCGTTTTTATCTTTAAAAAAATATATTTCACAAATCTTCAAATTTATTTCTATAAATTAAACTTTACACATAAAATTAAATAAAAAATTAAAACAAAATTTATATTATTTAAAAAGTAGAATTAGACAACGAAAATATTACAAAACAAACTTAATTAAAATTATTTTTTTAAAAGGTACATGAAAACATAATTGTTATAGAAATTTAAATATTACAACACTAATAATCTAGTAAATCTCCTTCAGAAACTCCAGAATCTTCAAATCTAAACAAGATTTTTGTATCCAAAGATGGTTGTTCTTGTTGTTCTTAACTTCTTTTTTGTATGCTTCTTTTTTGTTCAGAACGAATGTACTCATAAGTATTAATATTACCGATTGAAGCTAAGTTTTTTAGTAATATTTTATTTTCCTCTTTTACTTCCTTCAAAACTAACTTTTTTGCTTTATTTTTCATTCGTAATTCACCCATCTCATGCAACAATTTGTATTAAAATCATCTGACTTTCTTTGTTGCAGCAAAACAAGAAGCATATCAAAAAGATGTTAATTGTGCATTTGTAGTCTTGCAATCGAAGTTTGCTATTATAGCAAAATCATCTCGTTACTGGAAAAAAAAAGTATTGCATGATATATTAGAAAGAAAAAATAGTTAGTTGAATTTAAAATGGTGTGTATAATTATGACATGAAAATAGTTAGAAAATACATCTTAGCAAAATATTTTAATTTTTCAGATAGTAACACTCAACCCATAAATATTAAGTTATATATTACAACGTAAAAAATCAAATATAACAAACACATTAATAGATACTACGAAATGAAATGGGTTGAGAACAAATGATGCTAGGGTTATAATAGTAGTCTTAAAATGTTGTTTTCTATGCTCATGATATGTGTTTCCATATGTAAGAGGGAATCATTTGCAATGTTACTGATTATGGAAATTTTCTTAACTTCAATTTTAAAACACTGAGCATCTTTTTTTTTCTTTCTAAACAAAAGGTATTTTCCATAAATCTTCTTTTCTTTTTCTTTAACCACCCTTTCACTTAATTAACTTTGGTGATAAGTGAAATAAAGGACCAATGAGAGAAGAGCAGTGGCGTTATTTTGACTGGACCAGTGAAACCAGCCAATGGGAGATTGAGAGATATGCGACCTCGTAAGAACCGCCTCCTTCGCCATTTGTATCATCTCTCTATAAAATCACATAACCATCAACCTCTCTCTTGCATGCAACAAATCACTCATATAATTATTTTATAAAGAACTAATAAACGGCAGAGAAACAATGGAACGTGGAGCTCCTCTCTCTCACTATCAGCTACCCAAATCCAACTCTGGTAATCAAATAATAAGTGCCTATTTATGTATATACGTGCCTACACTATACTCACGAAAGAATCAGAAACTTGTTTTGAGATTTTTGTCTTTCAACAAAGAACTAGAGATTTTCATGTCATCTTAACAGTAGAGATTTTTTTTTTGTCTTTAAAGCACACTAGATTTTGTAGAAGGTTTGGAGAAGAGTCTACTTACATGCAAGACGCTTATATAGTTATATATGTGCATGCATGAATGAGTTTGATATGTCTATATATGTTTTTTTGCATATTAGTGTACACATCCAAGCAGAGGGACCAGTCCTTGATTCAACTATTTCGTGATATGGTATATATTAACAACTTTTTAATGGCGGATGGATAGCTCTTTCATATGTTTGTCCATTGACTATTCCGGTGCATGCACAAGAAATGTTTTAAGTTTCACTTTCTTTTTCTATATTTTAGATTTGTTGTCTGATTTTTTAAAAGTATAGAGGTGGGAATTGTAAGTGTTGTTTAGGTTATCTCCAACTATACACTATTTAGAATAAAAAATACTCAAATAATATTATTTTTTTACTCTTTAATCAACTTAAAAAATTAGATTTATTCTGCATATAGAATAATTTGTTTATTTTTGTTCATCATTCTATTTTTGAATAGAATATCCTTGCAACAACAATCAATTTTGTTTTAGAGAAAAAATTAGAGTAACTATTGGAGAGTTCTTGAGTGACAGACGGAGTCAAAATCTTAAAAACTGTGTGTATTTTCATTTGGAAATATTAATACTCATTTCTTTGGTTTATCGCTGTAACGGTTTGTTTTTTTCGTTTCTAAACGAAATTCTTGTTTGTCCACCCTGATTTTGAAAAATGTTGTCCAATGAATAAATACACTTGTTGGGAAAATATGGAAATACACTTTTTAACCAAAATAAATATAAAGACTATTGTAAACTCCTCTACAAGAAACAGTTTCACCTAATCCTCTTTTTAAAAAAGTTTGTTTTGTTAATTAGTAAAAGAAATGTTCATTGGTTAACTAAAAACCAAATTTAATTCTTTTTAAGTAATAAAACAAAAAATTGAATTAAGAAGCAAGCTAGAAACTTGACAAACAAAATTGGGAATACGCGCGTACCTATAAAAACATCAAATTTCGAGAAGTGGAAAGATCCTTTTGACTTTTTCGTTCTATAAATATAAATGTAACATCAAGAATCTGAACAGTCTACATAATAGAACCGTGACCTGTAAGCTTATTTCTTATTGGTCCTTAACTACTCACGTGTCTCCACTTGATAGTCCTCGTTTTCAACTATCAAATTTGCATCCTAAGAATATTAGTTTCATTTAGTATTTCAAACAACTTCAATTTTTGTAACAGGACTGAACTTGGACCAGCACAACAACACAATCCCGACAATGACTGGCTCCATCGGTCCATGCGACGACAAGAACAAGAGTATCTTGCCGCAGCAACAACCATGCATGCCTCGTGAGCAAGACCAGTACATGCCAATCGCAAACGTGATAAGGATCATGCGTAGAATCTTACCGCCACACGCCAAAATCTCTGACGACGCCAAAGAAACGATTCAAGAATGCGTCTCCGAGTACATCAGCTTCGTGACTGGTGAAGCTAACGAGCGTTGCCAACGTGAGCAACGTAAGACAATAACTGCTGAAGATATCCTTTGGGCGATGAGCAAGCTAGGGTTTGATGATTACGTTGGACCACTCAACGTGTTCATTAACAGGTACCGTGAGTTTGAGACTGATCGTGGGTGTTCACTTAGAGGTGAGTCGTCATCGTTTAAACCGGTTTATGGAGGAAGTGGTATGGGGTTTCATGGCCCACCCCCACCGGGTCCTTATGGTTATGGTATGTTGGATCAGTCTGTGGTTATGGGTGGTGGTCGGTATTACCAAAACGGATCGGGTCAGGATGGATCCGGTGGTGGTGGTGGTGGATCTTCATCTTCGATGAATGGGATGCCAGTTTATGACCCTTATGGTCAGTTTAAATGAATATGTTTTTAATTTTATTTTCTGGATGTCTATTCAAAACATGTTTTGGATAGTTATTTATGTCTCTATTAAACATATCTATTTGTTGCATCTTAAAAGAAAATGTTGAATTTCAATCTCCAGTTTCAGTATTTTTATAAGTTAATAATTTATATAAATGCAAATGAAAAGTTCAAATTGGTTACATCACTTGATGATTAACCTTTTTCATATATACCAAAACGCTCCATTTCCAGATGAATCATCATAAATCATATTTTTAAGTAAGTTCATTTCATACATTCAAAAGCTTTCTTATTTGTTCTGTCACTACACATGGACTAATCACGATCTTGAAACAAGTTTGGACTTGAAGATGGCATCAAAGTCTTACTAACAAGAAAACGGTGTAAGAAGAGTTAGGAAATGGAATCATCTGTCTCTGCGTTGCTTGTTGTGGCATTTTGAGAGGATTGGAGTAACTTCATTTGGTGCTCAGCGTGTTCTCTCTCGCACAAAGTCACGCCAAGGATGATGTCGAGCATTGTTCCGGTGGTGCCGAAGAAAACGAGTGGACCTAGAGACTTGCGCTTGATGCCCACAGGGATTGCAACCAATGCGCCTAGGACTGAGAATACCCATGTCCCTAGTGCACTGCACCAAACAAAACAAAATAAAACAAAACTGAAACATTAAAACAACTTCAAGAACAATTCATATACAAAATGTCGTGGGTTAAGCATGGCAGTATGAACAACTGATAGAGTAGACTGGCTACATACAGAGCTAATGACTCAATGATCAAAGCTCTGGTTCCTAGATCACAAGAAACATTACATAATCTAAAAACAAACAACTCAAACAGTGTTCCTCTCTCTCTGTTTCTAATAATTAGCGAACAATCAAAACGTTACGTTTCGGGTTGCTGAAAGCCTAAAGAAAGATTACTCACTTGGAAATGGTGCACTCCTCGAGTTGTTTCACATTCTCTTGAGCACCCAGCTTTTATCAGTAAACTAAAATAAATTACAAGTCAAATAGACACTCAAATGGACTGAACCATTCAAATGTACCTTTCTCGATTCGACTTGTGAAGTTAAGCTTCGGGGCGATGATGACTAGCGACGAGTCGAGTCGGATAAGACCGGAATCGGGATTGGATTAATTTTGTTAACCGGAAACTAGTCAGCATTGGGGATTTCAGTTCGGTTAATTTGATGGTTTTTGTTCCTGGATTATTGTGTTCCACCTAAAATCTCATTAATATTTAATCATTAAGTCTTTCAAAAACTTTTAAAAATCATACTAATGAGAAAGTTTGATATGTATCTCTCAAGTTTTTTTTTTGCAAAATTCTTTAATTAAATATTTTAAGACTGAAAAACTCAAGTTGAAAAACTATTGAAACTGATGGTTCTAATAAGTGTTTAGCCAAATTTAACTCTCTAACACACCAAAATAAACTGAGAAAGATTAGCAAAAAACACGACTTATAAATGTAGTAATGTTTGATTTTTAGTCTTGTACGTATTGGATGACATCCTTTCTCTTTATTCAGGGATCTTTTATCTTAAGCTTGGACACACAATAGTTAAAGGCTTTAAAGCATGTACGAGTATTGTTTTGTCTATTATGATATACTGTATACATGAACTCATGTTGTCTTTTAATCATCTTTTTTTTTGCTTAAATTCTCCTAATCATCTTTATCATGGGTACGTAATGAAACATTTTTGTACGCCGGTGCTCTTTTCCTCTTTTTCATTAAAATATTTAACAAGACAAAAAAATGAACTAAAGAAGTTCACAATCTCTGACCACAACGATTCACAAGTAGATCTGCAACAAAAAACAATAGAATATGTGGCACACTTTACATGCTAGCGAAACTCATATTGAAAATCAGTCATGTGATCTTTCCATATACCGCTAAGAATTGTCCTTACCGGCACCGAAAGTTTAAATGAACGTGAATAAACAGAGTTTTGACTTTAGATCTCGTTGAAATAGACATTGGTTTAGATGATGATATTCTATTGCTGTCGTTGAGCAAAAAAGTAATCATCATGTTATAGGTAGGGATGGGCACGAAACAAATATCCGGGTATTCGGAGATATTCGTGATCCGATACGTTTCGTTCGAATAATCAATTATCTGATTTGATTTGATCCGTAACTCTTTGGATATTCGCCATCCCGGATATCCGGAAAATTTTAGAATTTTATCGGATATCTGATTCGATCCATAAAAATAATTTTTTTTTTTTAAATAAATAAAAATCCAAAATAATATAAAATAATAATATTTTATTACAAAAATAAAATTTAATTAATTTTAAAAATTCTAATAACTATTATAATAAATTTAATAAATAAAAATCTTGTAAAACATAAATAAAATATAATATTTATATAACTTCTATATATGCTTCTTTAAATATAGTATGTATATATATATATATATATGTATATAACAGATTGAATCGGATATTCGTTTCGAAAAATATTAGTATTTGTTATTTGCTTCGTTTCTTATGGATATCACATTTTAGTATTTGCTTTGCTTCATAGAGTTACGGATATCCGGATTTTTCAATTTGAATCGAAACAGATAACGAATCGAATCAAAATTTAGTGATATTTTGTCTACCCCTAGTTATAGGATCAAATGGGATAATATCATGACAAGTTGACAACTCTCCTATTGTTGTGTGATTTCGACAAGTAAGAAAATAGATTGTTCACTAATCATTTTCGGAGCAACCAAAGTGTATTCATTTATATCCTAAAATCCTAACACCAAACGGCATGTTTGGTGAGAAATGGTTTGTTTACATTAACTTGATTTGATCCAACCCCTCTCTCGTTTTTTCTTAGCAATTAATATTTCTTTTGAAAAACCAACAATTCTGTGACTCCGTGTATATATAGTAACTGGTCGACTCCAGCCATCTTGCTAGCAGAACACCCACCAGATTTCTTACCAAAAATAAAATTAATTCAAGGATGTTGTTGGATGTTAATACACATTATTTGATAAATACACTACAGTATATGCATGAATCGTAGAGCTCGCATAATGGTGGTGACTACTATTATGTATATTATATTGTAAAAAGTCCAATTTAGATAAATTAAATTGATCTGATCCTATTTTAACCGGATGAAAAATCCATCTTCTAAAAATATTTTCCATTATCTTAAGCATGACCATAATTATTTATTCTGTTGTAAACTTTTTTGTTTGTTTATATATATAACTATATTTTTCAGACAACACTTCAGAAACACTGTATATTTCGTAGAATATAACTATTTCATTACAAGTTCTGCTATTTGCTAGTAGTATAATTATTTAAACACTGTATATTTCGTGTTCCGAATACTGAAACTCTGATATTGCATAGTAGTCCACTAAAACTCGAATGCCAGGCCCAGATCATTGCAGGTGTACACAATCGTAAAATTAAATAGTTATCCAATTTATAAAGGGTTTTATTGAAAGAGCTAACCAAAGCCGATTAACATGTGAGTATTTTTATGCTCAATGCAATTAGTCCATTCGTAAGTGTCTTTATGTTCAATGCAATTCATAAGCCTACTCTAATATTGAGGAAAGATTTGATAGACCTACTTCTAATATTTTATCTAATACTAAGAAGTTCAAAAGATAGTAATCTTTTGGGGTCAAAAAGATAGTACATTTCTAAGTATAGCAATTTCAAGTGAGCACAACACTGAAAGTTTCAAGCACAGAAGCAATGATCCGTAGAGTATGTAATCTTACAAATGCGTACACGCATACTCACTCAGTCCTTTCTGAATTTAAGTCTCTCGGCTTGGTAAGTGAATTTTGGCGTTGTCCGAACAAAAGAAAATTAACAATAGGCTTTCACAGATTACTATTTCTAATCAAAAATAAAGAAGCTATAAAATAACATGGTTCTATTTTTAAACAATGTTTCTGGTCTTCAAATATTCGTAAAGGTAGGTACAAAAAGGTAATGGGCCACAAAATGTCCATGTACTGTAGCCCACATCACGGATGAGTATTGAGCAAGAGACAAGTCATGCGGCTTCATTGTCCAATCCTAGTAATGGAGTTTAGATGTCCCTATGACACTGTACAACCTATAAAGTTAGATTCCATGTTGAAACGATATGAATGTTTTATTAAATCACGTTATGATTTTAATGTAAAATATTTTATATGTTATTTTATTTTTTTATTAATTTAAATATAGTTAAATTTATAGATAATAATATTTTTTTTTAAAATATGCAAAATTAAATATTTTCTTAACATATGTTAACAAACGTAAAATGAAAGAACTATAAAATAATAACCTTAACTAGCTGATTTTCCCGTGCTCATGCACGGGTATAAATATTTTAAAGTAAATATATGATAATAATTGATTACTATTTAGTTTTAATTTTAAATTAATTTATAATTTGTATGCATCATTTATATTAATAATATTATATTACTTTAGTTATACTATAATTTTATATATGTTATATTTAGTCGATTTTGTTGTTTTTACGGTTGATTTAGTTATCATTTTGATAAATTGGATTGCCTGAATTCAACTGTAATATTTTTAAAAATATATTAATTTTTAATTAATCACTTATTTGCATATAGTGAGTGTTGTCTTAGACATATACATATATTTTAGGAAAATTATTTATAACTTAACATATATTGTGATTAGAATGAATTAAAAATTAACTAAAGTGTCTGATTCCAAAACACGTAAGTTAATATAACGATAATATTCTAAAGTCTCATGCATATATATAAATTTTACAAAAGAACTAAAATTTTAAAAGTTGGTCAATATTTATTTTCATTTGTTAATATTTTGAGTTATCTTATGATCAATAGAAGGTTACATGCATAAGTAGTCGATACATTTTTAGAAGATCATGAACACATATCGATATTTAAAATAGTTAAAATATTTATATATTCTAAATAACTTTATGCTTTAGATTTATTGAACGTAAACTAAAATTTATTTTAAATGATTTTAAAATTGGGAATTCAGATTTGCTTTAATATTTTGATTATGGTTATATTTAGTTTCACAAACATAAAAACATAAAATTTAAAAGAAAATTTAATATTAAGAAAGCATATAATTTTAATAATAATAAGATATCATATATCTAGCTCGTTAATCTAATTGTTCATTATTTGATCAAACGATTTTTATTGTTAAATTTATTTTTAGGTTTTAATATCTCTTAAAAATAAGCACTACACAAAATTGTGATTGTATTTGAAAATAATATTATGTAAGTGAAATATAATTTATAGATAATTTTATGTAATTGAAAAAAATTATAGTCAACTAAATATATGAAAAATAAATAAAAAAATTTCAATAATACTAATTATAAACTATTTTTACTACTCAAAAAGTGTATTTTGATGTTATTTAAAAATATTTTTAAATGTATTATTGCTATTTTGTGAACTTTCCTTTTTTATGAAATCATATTATATATACATATATTTTTTCGTTTTAAATTTTTTTTTATGACTTTATAACTAATTTCCTTTTTCTTACATATATTTTTGGAAATTTTGAAAAGGAAAATAAATAAAAGAATTAATAATACTGTTTTTAACTATTTTAATTCATTAAGGGTATCAGTGTAATCAACCATCGTGAGAGTGAATGTAAGAGCGACACATAGGAAACTGACTTCTCAAATAATATTATAGAGATTATATCACAGTCAGTTATCATATCCATCGTCAATTCTCTCCAAGCAACAAAGAGCTTGAAAATGTATAACTACACAAAGGATAAACTAACTAACATATTAAAAGAATTTTTAAATGATAAAAATATATAAAATATGGACCGTCGGATCAACTGAAACTCCAAAGCGGAATATCAGCATCTTCGTAGAAGTACTCATCGACCATATTCATCGTCGAATTCAGTTGAAGATAGTAATCAAACGAAGTTCCATCATCGAAGAAGAACATCCCCTTATCTTCAGCATCATACCATGATGATGGATCCGTCAAAGACACATGACTGTCCACGAAAGACCCTATCAAAGATTGCATCACATCATCATTATTATCATAGTGATGCTGATCATGATCGGACGGTGACGAGCCGGCTGATGAAGAACAGGGGGCAAAAGGGTCAAATGAGTTGTTGGCAGCTTGGGCGGCAATTCTTTGGATGGATTTGGGGGACAGAACGGTCTTTTCGTCTAATAGATGTAGAGAAGAAGAATAACAAGAAGCAGGGAAGTTGAGATTGGCTTGAGGGCCTTTGAGACACAAGAGTGCAACATCGTAAGCCCTAGCTGCTTCCTCAGCTGTTGAGTAAGATCCAAGCCAAATCCTTGTCTTTTGGTTTGGTATTCTAATCTCAGACACCCATGATCCCCAACTTCTCATCCTCACTCCTTTGTACTTCTTAATCTTGTTCTTCTTGCTCTTGTTCTTACACAAAGACGAAGATGAAGATGCAGAATGAGATGGTGAAGTCAAAGACGTTTCCTTCTTGGTGCTGGTTTGGATCTTTGGTTCTTGTTTCACCATGGTAAAATGTTGTTGCTGGAGGTTACTTAGACTGGTTGGACAACGATGTATTGATCAAGTGATGAAGAAATTGTTCTTGAGTTTTGTGTTGTTATGTTTATGTATAGAGCTTTTTGAATGAGTGTTAACGTGAGGTGATGATATTATATATACTATATAGAGATGGTCTGGGAGACGAAGAATGAAATATTATTTATAGACAAATCGAAAAATAGGTTGAAAAGTAATATGGTACGGTTTCATGCATATGAATGTGACATTGTTGTGCATGACAGGTGTTTTGCTTCTATTTTTTTATCATAGCAAATTGTATATTATCATTAGGAGCGAATGATCCGTACGGAAGACAGAGCTATAAAGATTAATAGCCGTACGGAAAACGAGGGATGATTCTGACAAACAATACTAATTTTTAATACTACTTAGCTATCATCACTGTCAGGAGATTACACATTACAGCTACGTTTAACGCGTTAAGTCATATACAATATTTCGAAGAAAGGGACTCCTTTGCTCTTTGTTTTATTCTCTACAGTAAACTTATGTTGGATTTAATCTTTAGTTATGCTCCCTAATTACCGTATCACGTACAAAACTGACGGTTTAATCTCCCAACGTTGTACATAAATGTTATTTCTTGCAGTAACTTTATCCATATTATAGTAGTTTCACTCAATTATTTCACCAGATGATACGACCTTGGGCATGCTTTTGATGATTTGGTCTTAGGAAATGTTTATTGGATGTTCTTAAGATGTAGTTTTTAATTTATGATTTAATATTTTTTTTTAATCATTTTTGTCTAAAAACCAGCTCTTAATAAGAGTTTTAAGAAATGGTTGTTGATTTTTCTTAGTTAAAATTAAGAGACGATTTTTATATTATACGAAGAGCATCTTTAACGGTAACTCTTACAAATGCTTCTCAAAAAAAAAAAGGCGAATCTCATCATATTATTAAAAACTGCCTCTTGTGGTTCTTCTGTAAAGGAGGCCTCTTAGAGCACCCGCAACAATAGTCCTTAGGAAAAATCATTAGGGAAAAAGAAAAAGGAGCATTTCGGATTATATAAGGATATTTTAGATTTTTTCTTTAAAAAGAAAAATTGATCATTCACATGCCGCCACGTGGCAGTGGAGCCCGCGAATAGTGTAAGGATCAATCCTTAAATAATGATTTTAAGGATAGAATCCTTAACTGTTCATGAGACCTACTGATTATAAAATTAATATTTCCCTAAGGATTCCCCTTAAAGATTCGTAGTTGCGGGTGCTCTTATGTTGTTGTTTTACATTATTTACGGATTCCAATAACACGTGTCAATACGTGATTGATTTACTTTATTTTTTAAGTCAAAAAAATTATCTAAGATTCTGTATCCTAGAGTTCTTGTATTTATCATATTCTAAAAATCTCATCCTAAACTCGGCAATAAACATGGCCTTAGAACAAATAATAAGACTAAAATTAATACGTCCCGTCCACAGATTACACTCTAAAGTTGGTGAGAAATAGATAATCTTGACCGGAATGGCCAAATGATTGACGTATAGGATATACAAAAAGTTACGAAAGGCCCTAGATTCTGATTGGATCTTCAACTTGTGAATATAACCTTATGTGGTTAAGAGAATTTGTTTGGGATATCTCTCTTTTACAAATGTTACAATGTTCAAAAAATACAAGAGATTCTATAAAAAAGAATTTTTGATAACAGATTCAATAAACTTAAAGAAGATGATTTTTATTAAAAAGCTGACGTCCAGTAAAACAAATTATTCTTACTATCAAAGTCCAAAGTGGGGATGGTTTAAGTCTGCATGACAACTTGGTATTGAATTAAACATTTTTAATTTCATGGCTTGTGACGTTGTGATAACTTACGCGTAAACAATATGCATTTGATACTATAAACCAATAAATTGATAAGAAATGAAAAGGAGGAGCCAAAATAGCGAAGAGTGAAGTCAGAAGAATGTGAGAGAAGGTGATGATGCTCAGATATTGATAAAAGATTACAGCTGTTCTCAATCAGAAATTTATAAACCATAAAATGATAAAAAATCCAAAACGCGTTGTCTATCGTCACAATCTTTTTTTTTGTGTGTAAATGTTTGTTAATATAGCGTCACACTCACTTGTAATTATCTTTCTTATCTTTAACAAAAAAAATGATAATCTGTTTTAAATTATTTTTCAACAATTGTAAAGCTGTAATAATACTACATTTATACCTATCAAAAATGTATCTTCATCGAAAATGTGGTTTTTCCTTTTGTTTTCCCCACAACTTTTGTTACAGTATAAACAAAGAGCATAGACATTTGTATTTCTTTAGAAGAAACTAACCTCGATTTGATTCGTTTTTCGAGGATGATGGTTTCTGTCCTGTTTTCTAGATATTTGCTAGATAAAAAAAACTGTTTGAGTCAATGAAAATGAATAAATCATGTACATATATAGTTTTAAATGCACATGACGGTAAGTAGGAAAATATTAGAGATTCTATGTGGACAGCCCTGCCTTCTCACAACGCTTACGACTAATCATGGGATGGTACTCTTTTCGTTGTCTTATTCTTCACATTTCAGACTTTGGTCTAACGCAAAACTCAATATACAGCGGACTTTGTCAGATTTTCAGCAAAAATATGCGTTTGCATGAAGAGAAGCATTCTGGATCGTAGTTGTGTCTTGTCTGACAAGTATAACTTTACTTGTCATCTTCTTTCAATTCCACTTTCGTGTTATAACGCTTGTAGTTGGTCTTGTCTGACAAGTATATTCGTGTAGAATTTCAGGATTAAACAAGAAACTAGAAGTTTGTCAATATACGAATTCATGAATCCATGAATAACAGAGGATCACCTTTTCTCATATATCAAAATATAAATTTGATATATATATCAACCACATAGCCAAAACTAAGAAAGACAAAAACAGAGGATGACCTTTTCTCATCTATCAAAATATAAATTAACTGGCACCGTTATGCCGGCAAAGACTTTACGATATCAATAACATACAATCTCAACCTCAATCCCAATAAGTTTTTATATTTTTTTTTGTGTACGATGTTATACATCATGTCAAGGAAACTTCGCGGAAGACGCAGAGATCTACGTTAATGGTTTTTCTTACTAGTATTAATATATATTTGTAATGGATCCAATCCAGTGAACCAGTTTCAACCACCAAGTCCTTTTTATGTATGTTGTCTACATCTATAATGTAGTTCGATTTTAATAAAGTTGAAACTGATGTGGGGGTATAAAACAGACCACATACATATCATGTAATAAAAATAACTCAAACATATCTGCTCTCTTTAGCAAAAATAAGTGTTACACTGTAATATTTATTTGTGAAACACTAATTGGGATGGCACTGGAAGCCCATTTACAAATTTTATGTGCCGAGTAGATAGTCCATTTTAACATTGTAATTTGTGTTCTGGCCCAAATACTGTCACATGTAACGTTCTTCCTATAATAATATAGATTTTTTTTTTTAAAAAGTTTCATCTTTACGAAATATATTTCCAACTGCTTCTTTAGGTTCATGTTTGCAATTTAAAAAATCAGATATCCTATTCAAAAACTAGTTATGAACCTGGTTGACCAAATCTGGATACTATATTCTGGTAAGTGTATAACTGTATCATACCTAAGTAATGCTTATTGTGCACATAGGAATTTCAGTTGGCTTCTACTAGTATTACTTACCTTACCATCACAATAATTGTTATCATTAACGGTTTTGTAGAATCCATCACCCTACAAACTAAACATATATGGTGATTAAATGCAGTTCCCTTAGAGAAGAAAGTAACAGAAAGTTAGTCTGCTCTGAATGAAACCGCAAATTCATTTAAGAATCAAACTATACCGAGCTACTTCCCTTTATAAGACACGCCACGTCGACCATTACATTTCTGATTGGCTGAGCTTACGTTAAGCAAGTCACCAAAACATTCTCCACTTGCTCTGTTCACGACGCGCGCGCGTGGACTCTCTTTGTCTTTGGTTTTGGTGGACTTGAGCTTGAGGTAAGAAAAGAGGAAGACCGTCCCGATGGCGATTAGAGTAATCCTTGCTTTGACTCCGGTTTTTGTGGTGCTGTTGGTTATGTTGACGGTTAATTAGGGCGAAGCTATATGGCTGACGATTCCGGCGAGGAGGGACGAAGTGCGTTTTCGAGGAGACACAGAGCAAACTTGGTTTGCACATATGTGAAGCTATCTCTGATTGATGGTGTCTTGAGTCTACGTTCCTTATGGGAACAATCTTCACCACCAAGACAATGTAACACATGGCCAGTTTGCTTTCACCAATCAAGAAACCGGCAACCACTTGGCTTGTTTCTAAGTTGATTCCAGTCACCCGCAACCTAATCCTATATGGATGTTTATCATTGCAGGGTTTTGATTAGTGTGACAATGCACTAAAGATCACATTATATTTTCATCCTAGTATCCAAATATGAAGGTTTACAAGTTTATTGTTATCAGATTAAATAAAATAAATTTGGGTGACGTATACTTGCAATGTACAAAGAAGACAGTCAGATCATCATGTAGACAAGCTTATTGCATGCTATGTCCTTTTCTTTCATGTGTGGGAACAGTTAGACATCAGATCGGATCAAATAATACAATATTCATGTTTATTAATAATGGAAAAACCATTACAATTTGGTTAGGTCATCTAAGAACTCACCAGTAGATTATAGACAACACTTGAAAATTAACCGTTTAAATGAATTTTCAATTGCCTCATCAAGGAAAAATATGTATATTCCTATCCCTCTTCTTTTTGTCTCGAATATTTAACTGTTGTTTTGATGATATCATCATCTTTCTTACGCATGTATATATTCAATGTTCTCTCTTTAAATAACAAAATATATTAAGTTTATGCCATGAGAAATAATAGAGTCTCGAATGTATAATATTATAATTGTTATAGAAAAGAAGAGGTGTAATCCATTAGCCCAAGTTATGGAAGATGGAGTCCAAGCATGAATCCAACTCTAAAAGTCCTTTTCACTTTTGCCTAATCTCTTTCTTTCGTACGTCATTGTACGAACCTTACACTTATCATTTCCGTATTAATCACTCTCTCAATACATATATATGTTATGCATTGCACTTATCTCTCTAATCTCTTTTAGTAGAGATATGACTCATCTAGTTCATCTGATAATGACAACCATTAAAACCAGCCTGATTTTCGTCAGGTTGTATTGGCCAAAAAGTACAAGTCTAGAACCTGCACATGGTGATTTTTAGTGCGAAACTAAATTGAACAAAATTTAAAATATCATCGCATCACATTTTATTTATAAAGATAAATGCTTAGCAATTAGAATGTTCAAATGTGACCTTGAAATCCTGGATATATACCGAAGCACACATGCAGTATTTTAGTTACTTGATCATTATGATTATGTGATAAGATTCCACTCCTAATGAGAAAAAAAAAAATTAAAACAAGACAAAAACCCCATTGGCTGGTAATGGGTTTCACTGCTGGTAGTGACGCAAACTCACAAAATGTATTAATATCTTTAAATTTGCAGAAAATAATGAACCACACTACTAGGAAAGTAGTTTATTCTTGATACCCATCTTTTGCCTATTGGCATATTAAGTCGAATCCTAGCACAATTTCATCTTTATTTTTAGTTACTTTCACACATTTAATTAGGGGTCTCAATTCAACGATTTCTTGTTTCGTATAGACTTTTTGATTGAATTATATAATGAGCCTTTTGGAATGAACGATTGATGGGAATTGAACAGATACGTCATTGTGTAACCTCCTTAAATGCTAATACATACAAAATCAATCTTTAGAATTATTGAGAAATTAGGGCTTGTCGATGCCCATATTTATATTTAGGAGTGATGATAAGTCGCATCAAACGACAAGTAAGATATGTTCGAATAAATTCGTCGTTTGAGAGGGAGCAAAACAGAAGCAAGCATCTAGTAACGTGGAAGATTTGATAGCAGGCTTATTAAGGGTAAGCAAGAGAACATACAATGCAGTTCCCTTTTACGTTAGGCATATACATATGTGAATATGTAGAATAATGTTTGATAGAGACTCTATACGTTTACGTAACTATCGACATGATGATTCTTGATCCTCGAAACTTTGTTTAAATATTTAGTAGATTGACTGTTATAAGTCGGAAATGGAGGGGTTTTGCAAATATATTTGTTGCATGCGTATAGTTATGTATACAATATTTTAAGGAACATAGAAACCAATCTTATAACGATATACGAAACCTAATATAATATGAATGTACAATGGAAAAGAGTAGGCAGCCTTAGTGATGACGGATGGAAGAGAGCACTAGTAGCCGCGTCGCACAAGAAATACCTAATCACGCTTGTCGTTTCATGTGACGAATCACAACAAAATTTATTACAAAAAGTACATTCATTTTGGTTTTGCTTCATTAGTCTAAGGTTTTGCAACAATATCCATGTGTTTCAGAAAAAAAAAAACAACAACAATATCCAATGTTCAAGAAACTGTTAGACGATAATTAAACACAGTTTATCAAATTCGATTAAAGGGACTATACGGGGCCTAGGTGGGAGATCTAGGCGTTTAAGAAACTATTGATTCATTATATATAATTTTATATTTGAATTTAATTATAAAATAATTTTTTGATAAATTATCAAAATTTGTTATACAAAACAAAAGTTAGTCAATTTTTTGAATTTTACTAACATTATTATTTAATTTAACAATTTTTATTAAGTAGATCAATTTAAATCGATCTAGAATAGTATAAACCGATTTAAATTATATAAATTGAACTAAAAATTATTTCGGTTAGTACTGAATTACCGTCTAGACTGATTTTTAGAAAACGTGTTTCAATTTACACCTACTAATTAATTAAAAATAATATAATTTTTCATATATGTGGTTGATAGAATACTTTCGAATGTTTTTTAATATCAATTTAGTTTAGGTGAATTTAGGCTCGAAATAATACAGCTCATAGATTGGTTTCCGGTTTGAATGGGTAATAATATAATTTAGAAAAGTGATGAAACTATATAATTATTAGATGAAACAAATGATAATCGTTAAGGTTCTTATCTAAATCTTCTAACTCAAAATTAATTGGCAACAAAGATTTATGACTTAATTACAATTTTTATTCTGATATTTTCTGTGTGTGTTGTTTATCCAAACATGTTCTTCTGACGGGTTTGGTGGTTCATTTCCAAACCAAATATAATGCAAACTAGCAACTAATCTTACTTAGGCTACCCTATTTGATTAAAATGGATTTTAGTTAAACCCTTTCTCAACAAAAAAAGAAGAAGGATTTTAGACATGCATTTTTAACTTAAAATAAATTAGTTGTGAAAATAAACGAAAGTCATCTTGTGGTTTAATTAATTAATTAATTAATTAATGGGATAGTTAAAATACATAATTATGTTTTTAGTTGACATCATGTACTAATTAGTAATTGCCACAAACATTTCAACCATCTGACTTGGTCTACCGCTGACAGTCCTTGTAATCCTAATGGTTACGTTTTCTTCTTCACATCATTACTCACATGTACTTCTTTTCTGCATATAGTACGAACAGACAAACTAAGTATATAGTAATTAGCTGTTAAAACAATTATCATTTTGATGACATGGTGTCCACTCTTCAAACCACCACAATTCTCTCTATCTATTATCAGCGACAATATCAGATAGGATGCAAGCCACTAAACCTAACCATCATTCGCTTCTACACCATATTTGGATATAAAATTACATAAGCCATCTCATCTGTTAAAACTCCATAAACCTCTGTCAACATCCACACAACGGATGATAATTCCATTCACGCAACGGATCATTCACACAAGGCCGCTAAAAAAGCTGAATCTGAAAATCCGGTTAATATTAGTTAATTGTTTAAAGCGTTTCCTGTCAATTATAATAACTATATTGTATTCTGATAATTAACACACACATATATATAGTAAAACTTTTATAAATTAATATTCGATAAATTAATAATCTCTATAAATTAATAAATTCTATCCGTTCCAACTTGGACATGTGTAAAATATGACACAAATCGATAAAATAATAAGATAATAATATTTTTAAAACTGCCATGTAAATATATAATCTCATTAAAATCATAAACTCTTTGAGATGTTCGGCGCTATCAGTTTAGATACTTAGAACAAGTGCATCAAAGGATTTTAGGAGAAGTTCACACGCATTCTCAAAAAAAAAAAATTAAATCAACAGTAATGAATCCGCGTCGCATGAGGTTTCTGTGGTGACCCAAGGTCATTATTGTTTAGTGGGCCCCACGTCACATAACGATCGCTATTGGTCAATTTATTTAAAAATAAAAAAATAAAAAAAATCAAATGAAAAAATAATAATAAAAAATTCATTACTGCTGATGCTCTTAACAGTACTGGCAGAATCCGTTTCACAGCATTCTCTGAACACCCACTTATATGTTTGAGCGTATTTATATATGCATATATACATTCATGAGTAAAAAAATATTGATGCTGCAAAAATGATAATCACAACACACGTTACTCATTGTAATGAAGACAATTAGCATAATGTAATGTACGAAAATCTTTGAAAAATAAAAATCAGTATATGTAATATATTAATTTTTTTTGAGAAAATATGTAATATATTAATTGGATGATACGTTTGCACACATATATAATAGGATACTTAAGTATAAACAAGAGATGAATAGTTTCGTGAATATTCAGGCTAATTCTGAATTCTCTTATAGTAGATTCAGAAGTGTGATGAGTGGACAAAATGAATGATGTCTGCAAGTGGATTATATATAATGCGTGCTTTTGATTCTCGAAACTATTTGCTTATAACTTACGGATATATAAAGTTATAACAACAAAAAACTTACGGATATATAAAGTTCGGCTTGGACCGTTAGACGTAAAGTATAAATATAATTTGGTATACATTGCTATACTGCATTCTTTTTGTTGGTACCCAGCTGACAAAAAAAAAAAATTAATACTCCCTTGACGAAAACATGCTTCATTAATGCTCTTAGATAACAATCCAGCCATCTTAATTATCAAAATATTTATTCTAATAAAGACGTAACATTTTCTCTTCACACGCAAATCTTTATAACCAATAGTTCAATTGATTAATAAATTATTGTAGGTGTGTAACCAAAGAAACTTTCGAGATACGACCTAATCCGGTTTGGATCATATAGAACAAGACTATAATTAGCCACATGTAATAGTACTTATTTGATAAAATTAAAAATCTATAACTAAAAGTGATGCATAGATAACCAATGGCTGTAAAAATGCACTCGTAATTGCTTTTTGTGTCAGCCCAATTTGGCTATATAAGCAAGTACGCTCTTGTGGTGTAATCATTCACAGTCATAAGACTCATAACTAAGTACACTATTGATACATCAAATACAAACAAGAGAGAGAAACAAATATCAAATGGAGAGTCAGAGCAAGTGGGGAGGCTTAATGAATAGAGTGAAGCCATACTTAGCAATGATATCTTTGCAATTTGGTTATGCCGGTATGTACATAATCACCATGGTGTCTCTTAAGCATGGCATGAATCATTACATCCTGGCCGTTTACCGCCATGCAATCGCCACGGTCGTCATGGCTCCGTTTGCTCTATTTTATGAAAGGTATTTATGATTCTTTTTGTCTTATTTGTGAATTAATTAACGGACAGAAAATTCTAGACAAAAGTTCTATACTACTACTACTACTATTGTGTGCACTGAATTATATTGTGTCATAAATTCTTAACAAACACAAAATATATGTGCGTCATAGATTGCTTTCAGGCAAAACTCAAGATAAATAAAATAGATAATTCACCGTATATATCTAAGGTCGTACATACAAGTTTTAATGTTGTACACAAATGAATTAAAGGAAGTATGTAATTTTTTTATTGTTACGGTTATGCAGGAAAACAAGGCCAAAGATGACGTTACGAATATTCCTTCAAATTGCGCTGCTTGGATTCATTGAGTAATACTCGTCTTTTAGTCTCATATTTTTCACAATAAAGAAAAAGTAGTATAAGATTAATCTCCGCAGATTTTATTCTTTATAATTAATGCAGTTCTTATGTAGTTGATAAAAATATAAGTAGTGATATATGATCAACAAAAGTTCATTAAATGAGTGTTAATAAAATGATAGGCCGGTGCTGGATCAGAATCTCTACTACGTCGGGATGACTTACACCTCAGCAACTTTCGCATCTGCTACCGCTAATGTCCTTCCCGCCATCACCTTCGTCTTGGCCATCATTTTCAGGTTTACATTATTTTCATTATTCTTGTAAATAAATTCATCAAACATTTCAAGCTTAGATTTGTATTGACTCCATCAGAAAATTAAAAATGTTTCCAATCAGAAAATTAACTTTTTTTTTCTTATCAACTTGTTAATGAGAAATTACCGATAGTAAATGAATTGTCCTCCTTTATTCTCTTTGATTCTTATTTCGAGAATTAACTTTTAGACTTTTAATTCCCATGCCGTGGGAACAAGATTATAGTTAATGGAATCATAGGTAAACACAGTTATTAATATGTTCGTGGAACATGATACCACCTGAATAATCAATTAATAAACACCAAAAGAAATATATCGTGTGAGATCATCACAATTCTACTTACGTAAGATGTCATTATAACTCTGTAGAACACGACTGTTATTTTCATGCACATGTAGTGTTTATATAACAATTAGACATAATCTCGATCTTTATATGGACTTTTATTATATTTAAAATTTTCAGATTAGAGAGCGTGAACTTTAAGAAGGTACGAAGCATAGCCAAAGTTGTCGGAACAGTGATCACAGTCTCCGGAGCACTACTCATGACTCTCTACAAAGGACCAATCGTTGACTTCATAAAAATCGGTGGTGGAGGAGGCGGCGGTGACGGTGCTGGAGGATCCCACGGTGGCGCAGTATCAGCAGCTTTGGACAAACACTGGGTTCCAGGAACTCTAATGTTGCTGGGAAGAACTTTTGGTTGGGCCGGTTTCTTCATTCTACAAGTAAGTATACCAATCTAAAACTTAATACATAATATCCGGTTTATTCATTAACCCTGGAGAAAGGAAAATCTAACGGTTTTGTTTTACTATGTTAAAACGCAGTCGTTTACACTGAAGGAGTACCCAGCTGAGCTATCATTAACGGCGTTAATTTGTTTAATGGGAACATTAGAAGGAACCGCCATATCATTGGTAACGGTACGTGACCTGAGCGCTTGGAAAATCGGTTTCGACTCCAATCTCTTCGCCGCTGCTTACTCCGTAAGTAAAAACAAAAGTCGTGATAATTTTGTACGCATAATGATAACTGAAATAGATTTAATCTAAATAATTAACTAAACTAAATGGTGATTAGGGGGTGATTTGCTCGGGAGTTGCGTATTACGTGCAAGGAGTAGTGATGAGAGAAAGAGGACCAGTTTTCGTTGCGACATTTAATCCTCTTTGTGTCGTTATAACTGCAGCTCTCGGTGTTGTTGTCTTGTCTGAAAGTATTCATCTCGGAAGGTATATTTCTCATTTTATTTCTTAAATTAATAAAATTCATAAATTTCGAGACCATATTAATAAAATTGTTTTTACTAATTTTTCAGTGTGATTGGAACGATATTTATCATTGTGGGTCTATACACTGTTGTATGGGGCAAAGGCAAAGACAAGAGAATGATGGATGATGACGAAATTAGCAAAGGACTTCCAGTTAAGAGTCCGGTTAAAGTAGTGGACGCCGGTAAAGTCTTAGCCGGAGAACCGGAGATGAAATCAAAGGAAGGTCAGGAGACTAATAAGGCTACTCAAGCTGAGATTTGAGGAAACTTGAGTGATAAATGCCTTTCTATGTATAATTGTTTATGCTTTTTTTCTTGCTTTCCATGGTTACATAACAGATTTTGGCTGATCATATGTAACTGGTGAGATGAATCAAATCATCTTATTGTTAACTAAAAGTTTTTGCTCATTAGTAGGTTTCCATGTCGAAACAAAACTGAATATTCTAAAATCTAGAAGAATTCAGGCTTTTTTTTTGCCATTGAAAGCGTTTCTACGAAGACCATTTAATTCGCTTCACATTTTCTGAACTTGAATTTACAAAAAAAAATAATATTAGGCTTCTCCGCTGAATCTAGCATAGCATAATTAATAAGATTTCACTTGATCAAAAGAACAAAAAAAAAAAAAAAAACTAACGAGGTCTTGTTATCTTGTTCAACAACTAATAGTTTGATAACAGTTTTTACTTAAGAAAAATATTTTTAAAATTAGTAATGGAAAACCATTGCACTGCAATCATCTAGATATTAATGTATTGTTATATCTCCCAAGAGCTTAGAGATTTCAATTGATCACTGATCATAATGCGTGTACCCAGACCTGATTGTAGCTCACACTGTTAAATATATAATTTTCTGGGAATAAGTATAATCACGTACATGAGATAGTAGTCGATACGATTATACAATAAACATGTGATGGTATGGTATGCATAGACGAAGACAATTTGGATTTAATTACCACATACCCAGCTCAATGCTTTACAGAAAGTTTTTACTGGATTTTGACCACCTCGGGGGACGATGAAGCGCACATTACCGAATGGATCACATATTGCCTGGCATGGATTGGTACATTTGGTTGGAGTTGCTTTTGTTGATGCTTTCATACATATATTCACGATACAGTCTTTTACACACTTCTCATCAATTACATAAGAATGTGAGATTTGTGATGAACACATCATTGTAAACAAAATTACAATCATTATAACACTGAAAAACTTCTTTGATACTTGAACTGCCATATCGTAATGTAATTTTTTACACCTTTTAAATTGTATATGTTTATTGTGGTTTTGAAAGTAGATGATTTGGTAAAGATTCCGAGTTGATTTAGATGTATTTATATGTTTTGTAAATTTAGTTTTAACAGGTTTAAGAAAATTACGACCTGTTATTAAGCTGTCAGTTTTTTTTCCCCCTTTTTTCGGTTAAATATAACGAGGTGTTGTTATACTGTTTTATCATCTGAACAAATACTTGTTATTGAAATTGCAACTAATTTTTTTCACTAAAGAAAAGACTAGTTGTTTTCATAAAAATATTAGCGTATACAACACATATTTAAGTGGCAAATAGTTTTTAAGTTCCTAACTAAATATTATTACGAAAAACTAATTTTAAACTCACACCATCACGTAAATAATTTATGATCTAAATAATAGGTATTTTTGATAAAATAAGGGATAGTTATCATAAACAGGCATAACGAGTTTTTGCTATCTAGATCACAAGGACAAATGTTAGAAAATAACATTCACAAAATAGGAAAGTTAGTAAACTATTTTTAATAACCTGAAATTTACAAATATAATAAATATTTATTTAAAACTAAAGTAAATACTTAACTACTTTAACAAACAAGCAAATATTTTATTTAGAACTAATCATCTCCAACCCCACTTCATATTTCACTGCAAAATGGAGTGGAAAATGGAGTGATGAAGAAACAAAAATCTCATTACTCCATATTAATTTGGAGTAATCACTTTTTTGTTTCTTCATTACTCCATTTTGTAGTAAATTATGGAATGAGGTTGGAGATGCTCTAAGATAACAGATTCAAAAAGAACAATGGTACGTTCTTGTATATGTTTCCTTTTAGTTAAGTAGAAAAAGATGTAAGCAAAGATGTGTAGCTATAAAAGAAAACTTCCATTTTAATTTGTAGGAAAGTTTTCTTTCATATTTTTTTTTTTGAACTTTAGTTTTCTTCAATATTGATAATCATCTTTTATTTCCCTCTATAGAATCACAAACTAAGTTTCAAATTATAAATATGTACTGCAGCACATAGCTATGGTATTATCTTTTAGTAGTAATATAACTGGCCAAGATGCAACATATAGCAAGTCCAGCTTCTTTTATTTGCATGTCATCAAAAGTATTACCTAAATCTCATGTACTATTAGATATGGTGATATAATGTTTCAGTTCTTGAAAATATTTAGTTGTTTTGATAACTTCATGGTGCAAAGATAACTACTTAATGATTTGTTTAGTTAGTGTTTTGTAGGACCAACCGTACAGCAAACAAACCGTGGCCAACCCCGATAAGTTTTTTTGGGTTTTCAATTTAAAATCAATTGGCGATTAGTGGATTGATCTAAATCTTTTATTTATAGTCCTTTACATATATCTGATGTGTGATCTTTATCCCAACACCATCCCTCGAGATAATTTGGCGTATAACAATTAATTTCGTAGAATTCATTATACTTCCCTCCAAAACAATGCTTTATTTTCATACAATTTTGACGGAACTGAACTTTCTATGGGCCGTCAGCTAATAGAATGCTTGGACCACTGTCCGGGCCAAATTAATAGATCTGGGTGTGGATCCGCTTTGATACTATGATAAATTTTTTAAACTTCTAAATTAATTGGTGATTACTGGATTGGTTCAAGTCTTTTATATACTACTCAAATCCCTTACATATATCTTATCCCAACAGATACAAACTAATTAGGTTTTGCTTTCTGTTCTGCAATCATCTAGATGTTGATGTACGGTTATATTTTCCAAGAGTTCAGAGTTTTCAATTGATCACTCATTATTGATTTTACCTCGCACTGTTATATATATAAAACAAAATTTATAGGAATAAGAATATACACGTACATGAAATAGTAATCAATACAGTTTTGTCGAAAATAAAAGATAGTAGTCGATACAGTGATATATATGAAATCATAAACATGTGATGTATGCATAAACCAAGACAATTTTTGGTTTTAAGTACGGCATACCCAGCTAAATGTTTGACAGAAAGCTTTTACTGGATTTTGACCACCTCGAGGGACGATGAAGTGCTCATTACCCAATGGATCACATATTGCCTGACATGGATTGGTACATTTGGTTGGAGTTGCTTTTGTTGATGCCTTCATACATATATTCACGATACAATTTTTTACACATTTCTCATCCATTACATAAGAATGTGAGATTTGGGATGAAAACATCATTGTAAGCAAAATTACAATCACTAAAACACTGAAAATGTTTTTTGATACTTGAACTGCCATATCGTACTGTAATTTTTACACTTTTTAATTGTATATGTTTCTTTATTGTGGTTTTGAAAGAAGATGATTTGGTAAAGATTCCAAGTTGATGTAGATGTACTTATATGCATGCTTAGTAAATTTAGTTTTAACAGATTTTAACATGACTACCTGTTATTAAGATGTCAAATTGTTTTCTTTTTCCTATTTTGGTTAAATATATTGGGATGTGTGGTATACTATTTGATCATCAAAACAAATATTTTCTATAAATAAATTGTAACTAATTGTTCCCACTAAAGAAAAAACAAGTTAATTCCATTAAAATTATTAGCTTCTCCATTATTTAAGTGGAAAATAGTTGTCTTAGTTCCTAACCATATCATTACGCAAAACTGATTTTAAACACCTCATCACTTAATTACAAAAAAAAAACATCATCACGTCAATAAACTTATAATATGAATTAATAAGTAGTTTGATAAAATAAATGATTTTTTTTATAAACAGGGAAAAGTTTTGTTATACATATACGTCAATAAAAGTTACTAAATAACCTATTAAATAGGAAAACAATTGAAATATATAATAAAATAAAAATTGAAAACAAAACTAACAATTATTTAAACAGAAGTAAATAATTAAAAATTATAATAAACGTAAATTTTAAATAATTTCGTTTTAAATTAAAGTTTTCACTTTTTCTGTTTGAAAAGTATTTGTGAAAATTTAGAAAATCAATGTTAAATTTATTTTATTTAGAAATTACATGAAAGAAAAATAGTCCAAAATGCTATATATTTTCTTTTTGGACTGATTCAATATTGTTCGTAAAACTTATTTTAGTCTATTATAGAGTATATCTCTGAAATAAATATATATTATGTAATAATAATTTTTGTGTGCAGAGTGGAATATTTTATAAAATAAATATTTATAAAACATAATAAGAAAAGATATATAAATATATTTTAATGATTTCATCAAATACAAATTGTATAAGATATTTATTTTTATCAATTCTAATATTACACATTTATAGAATTTTGAAATTAAATTAGTTTTATATTTTCATATGGTATCTAATATATATTATTAAAACTGAAGTACTAGTGAAAATTATTTGAAAACATGAATAGCCGTATTAAAAGTGAATATGTTTGGAAACATGGATAAATGTTAAAAATGCTTTAATTCTAATGAGATATTTATTAGTTATATCTTATTTTTACGTAATATAGATTTTGGCTATTATTTACTAAATAATTAACATTTAATTATAATAAATAGATTATAAGAAATATTTGATACATCTGTCAGTTATATACATGTAATTAAATGATCACATTTACATCATACAACATGATTTGTAAATATAATAATATGAAATTTATTATATGGTCAAATATATAAAATATAGGACACTTAAAATGAATCGTAATATAAACTTATAAAAATTAATTTCCACAATACAATTACCTTAAAACATAGTAACACATCTAACATATATAATGGTCACATGAGAAATATTAATCAATAAAAAATAAATTAATAAATATATATATATCACCTAACTCTAGTTTAATTTAAATGATATCAAAACAAGTTATATTTTTTTAATATGAATATATTATTTACTCAAGTAGATCCTTAATTCTATTTTTTTTCTTCCATAACTTTTTTGTTTTTATCTTTCTAGAAATGAAAAGAGTTGACGAGCGATGTGATGTGACGAGAAATGAAAAAGAAGTACGGTCAGCTGGCCCCTTCTTGTTGTGTAACTTTTTTGTTTTTAAACTATGAGAGAAATTTATTGCTCATTTATTTATTTTATGAATTTGATTAATAATCTTTTTAAAATTATTTAATTTTTATAATGAAAATTTGTAAACTTTGTATATTATTTTCTGTAAATTTTAATATTAAATATTTAAAAATTAGAAATGTAGATTATAGAAATCGTATTTCAAATTGCTTTTATTGGTTTGCAAAATATAATTTAAAGTTATAATAGATTTAACCTTAAAAAATTATAAAAGTATTTTTGGTAATCGATAAACAGTTTTGTTCTATATATATTTCTAACCTCAATAAAAATAATTCTGACTTTGCCACTATTTGTGGGTTCTGTGCGGGACCGGACCAGCAAGATATATTCTTAATTACTATATATATGAAGAATTAGTACTGGATTAAGCCTGAATTAAAGTATCCAAATTATAAGTATGTATCTAAAATGTCAATTTTTTTGTTCAACACTTGGTTTAGTGTTATTACCGTGATTTTATCTGTGCTTATTCCTTATATCACCAAAATTGTAAGAAAATGAGATCATATGGTTGCTTTGAGATAAAGGTTTTGTTTAATAATTGTGTTGTTTTGTTAATAAACTTTGTTTGTTCGTAGCAATCGTAATTTGAATTCTTGTAATTTATGTTTCGCATTTTCTAATTCAGTTAGATGTGAATGGTTTGTTGATTCAGTTATATTGTTATTCTTTAATAGCAGCTGAAACTAAAAATAAATTATTTTACTTGATAAATACAATAAACACATACACTAGTATTATACAATAGACAATAATAATAATAATAATAATAATAATAATAATAATAATAATAATAATAATAATAATAATAATAATAATAATAATAATAATAATAATGAAATATATATTTTTATAGAGAATACAGAAAATTAAGATAATATGTAATTATTCATCTTTTGAATCAGTTACTGCAACGGGCGGGATACGCATAGCAGTAAGCAGCGTTAATCATGCCTCTAAGCGTACTGCCGTCACTTGGAACAATATATTCTGTTTGGGTGTTTTGTTGTTTATTGCAAAACTTCTCGCAGACATCTTTGCAGATGGTTAAATCAGGCTTTTTCACTACATTCATGCACTGATTCGGAATACAATGTTTAATACACATTTCTATATTGAATGAGTGAGAAATTTGTGCTGAAAACACTATGATAATCATAACTGTGATCATGAAAGCGCTTGATTTTTTTTGAACGTCCATGATGTATGTATTTAATTATCACAAATGCTAAGAAGATATTGCAATTTCTTCTTTTTAAATCGCAAACAAAATAATTTGTTGAGTAATGTTAGGTTAATGTAGGTAATATATATAGAAGAACCAATAATAACTAATTTTAATAGTTGTTTTAAGTCTGTTTGTTATTTTTGCTTAAAATATATATGTCCGATTAGTTTTATAAAATTTAGCTGTGGTTTGTCTGTTTATAGTTCTCCAAACAGCTTATTGTCATAACGAAACAATGGTTTTAATCGCCTGTATTGCAAATTCTAGCTTGCAGATATATCCCATAAATCATTTTGGTTTATTTTGTAACAACTTGTTTTTATGCTAATATATATCATGGACTGCAATATACATAACACTGGAAAATATAGGAATATGGAACATAAGATCAGAGTTGTGGAATTAACAATACAGTACCTGGGAAAGTGGCCACCACACAGCATTGTTGTAAGCATCATGAGAGACAACAAATGTTTTTAAAAAAAACATATCATCTTATCTCAAGTATATAGTTCCATATAATTAAATCATTCTCATGCTTATTACAAACTCAATTAGAGAACATAAAAGTTACATTCATATGTGTTCATCAAGAACAAAACAATCTAGAAAACAAGTAACCATGACAACCTTGCACAACATCTAGCAAAGGAGATGTCTGACACGCTTCACCCGCATCACGATCCTTCCACTTCTCTAAAACCGTTTCAGCAACAACGGCGATACGATGCTGCATCACTGAAGCGCCCATCGGTCCCACCAAGTTCAACCTCGTTGCAGCCGAGACAACATCTCTCAGCGTAACAAACAGGTAAGCCCTCTGAGAAGTCTCGGGGTCCATCCCAAGAAGCCCACATACAAGCCCAAATATCGGAGCGTGGTGGAAACGTAACTCCTTGGAGCCCAAAGAAGCGTCTCTGATCATCTTTAGAGATGGGATCTCAGTGAAAACAGAAGCAGCTATACGGAACAAGGCTGATCCTTGAGAGATCGATGCCTTTGAAGAGACTTGGTTTGTTAAGGTAGCGTCAAGTAAGAGATCGAGTCTTTGCCATGTCTCTATGTCGGGAGATTTGAGGGCAGAGTAGACAAAAGGAAGTAATAGGCTAGCTGTGTTGTCTAAGACGTGGATGATGTGGGTTTCGAGATCTGTCGGAGAGGAAACTAACCGTGTCTGAACAGCTGTTTCGAGACCGAAGGAATGAGCGAAGCCTCCTGTTGGTAAAATGGAATCGAGTAGTTGCCACTGGCTCCACTGTGTACAAGAGGAGGCTTTGGAGACAACGCTCTCGCGAATAGCATCTTCTTCAATTGGTTTTTCCATCGATCGAACACTTTCTTGAAACGAGAGAGAAGATAAATTATATTACATTTAATAATCTAATTTATTAAAACAAGATCACCCTTATTATTTGCCCTCATTCTATCAGGGAATATTACTTGAATTGCCACTGGATCTACTTTAAAAAAAAAACTGATTATTTCATAACTGTATCTAATTATCTAATAACTCCAACCACGATTAATTTTGTATTACATAAGAGCAGTTACCTTTTTTCTTCCTAGAGGGACCACTCAATTATTGATTTACGTTGTTACACCAGAAACCCAATTGCAATCTTCAAACCTTCATCCAAGCACTGCGTCTATGTATTTTTCTCTGTCAAAAAAGGTTATACAATTCATCAGTTGTGAAAAAAGGTTTTCTTAGTTACGATTTTAAGATCATCAATTAACCCAACAAATAGTTGCAGAACAATGATAAGGAAGAACAGTTTGAATAGAGGAAGATATTATCAAACCGAAGTATACTATAAATGCGCCTCTTACACCACAGTGATGGTTAACATAAAAAGTTTTATTATTGATTTACCTGTTTACAGAGGTATTCGAGTGGATAACAGATCGGAAATGAACCTTTTCAGATTTTATTTGAGATGAATCCTCGGTGATAATAGAGACACTAAATGAGTTTCTTTGTGAGACAGCTGGACAGAGGATAGCCAATGACGCTTTCTTGATTAAGTTGATCGAACTTGACTTCCTTCAAATATATACTTCATACACATATAATAGCTCTATGAAGAACAGCTTCGCTAAGATCGATCCTCGGAGTAAACGGAGGAGTCCTCTTATCTGACATACATACGATTTTACAGAGCCATGAACTATTTTGACATTATGTACTTTCGATGGTAATAGAGAGAGAAAGAATGATACTTTCCAGCTTCCAACACTCCAGAAATAAAAATACCAAAGGTCAAACGAATGATTTTTTCGGTGACCATGATTAAAAATGGGCTTTGAACTTCAATTTTGCCAATACAATCAAAAACCGTATGAAATAACTATGGGCCTTTTTAATGGTTATTGGTTTTCAAAATAACAATTAAAATTGAGATCTATTGCCTAAATAATCTATTGTAATAAAAGTAGGAACTATAGTTTTATTTCCAAACTTTTTAACAATATTAATAGCATTGCTTAAATTATAGTAACTTAAAAACTTTCTAAACACAAATATACAACTCAAATTCTATTGTAATCAAATTCTAATTTCTCGATATAACAGAATATCCAAAATTATTTGTATCCAAAATATTTATGCTGAGATTTTCATATTCTTTTGACCAACAAAACTTTGATATCTGTTGAACCAAATAACCAAAAAAAAAATTAGTTCAACTAAAATCGGAAACGAAATTGAAAACTAAATTGAAATCAAACTGAAAACTAAATTTTATGCTTAAATTAGTGAACAAATAAACATATTAATAAATTCTTCAAACAAAATATATCCGTTCTTGGAAAGGACGGTTTTAAATTGTGTCCAATTATGTATTTCATTTATTTTAAGAGACTGTTCTATCAAATTAAATTTAGATTAAGCACAAATATATATATATATATAAATTCCAAATATATATATATATATATAAATTCCAAATATAAAAATTAATTTTTCAAAAAAAAATTAAAACAAAAAATATACCCGCCCTTTAAAAGGGCGGGTCATAATCTAGTTATCTTTTATATTCAATACCATATTGGTTTACGGTTCGATTTCAAATCAAATAAAAAACCAACGGAATTGCCTCTAAACCGAACCTGACCACTCTCTTCTTTTTTTTTTCTTGTCAAAGGATTTCCATCAGTTACGTTACGACATATTAGTGAATTTGGGTGGTCGTTCCTAGGCATAATATCCAAAGAATCAAACTGATTCAAATTTTTGAGGTACAAAACCAGAGTCGATGTATTATATTTTTTTTTTACCAAAAAGTAAAAGTATATATTTGAATAGGCGAAAAATTAGTACACTCGACCACAAGCATAATCATAAATAAAATACAAAAATATGTTATATATTTTATATTAATATTATCTAAAAATAAAATTTGATATGCCAACAGAAATATATGTTATGAAAAAATTATTGATTTTTGTACTGTGATCAGAGCTATTTTTAATATTTATATATTGTTTCAATATTTTCAATCCGAACTCTAAAAAAGCAATATGGAAGTTGTGAACAAATATTACTGTGTTTGATATACAAAAGTCACATTCTAAATTCAACAAATATTCAATTTTTGTTTTGTGAGTTTTTTTTTCCAAAATACAAATTATATAACAGGTGTATGCGTTTATCATAAGTTTTGTTTTCTTATATAATTAGTTTTGATTTACATTTAATTATTTTTAAATAGTTTAAAACTTGCACGTTATTTTCTATAAATGTTAATATTAAATTTTAAAAAATTAGAAATGTAGACTATAGATATCATATTTCAAAATTATTTTTATTGGTTTGCAAAATATATTTAAAGTAATAATAGATTTAACCATACAAAATATTGATAAAAGTATCATGGTAATCAATAAACAGTTTTGTTCTATATATTTCTGACCTTAGAAAACAAATTCTGGCTCCGCCACTATTTGTGGGTTTTGTGCGGACTGGTGGACCAGCAAGATATATTCTTAAATTACTATATATATGAAGAATTAGTATTGAACTAAATCTGAATTAAAGTATCTAAATTATAAGTATGTATCTAAAATGTCAAAACTTTTTTTTTGGTTAACACTTGGTTTAGTGTTCTTACCGTGATTTTAACTGTGCTTATTTCTTTCATATCACCAAAACTACAACTATATGCAAATGAAATCATATGGTTGCTTTGAGATCAAAGTTTTGTTTAATAATTGTGTCCGTTTGTTAATAAACTTTGTTTGTTCATGATTTCTATCAGTCTTTTAGCAATTTTAATTTATGTTTTTTGCATTTTCTATAGATTTGAATGGTTCGTTGATTCAGTTATATTGTTTTCTATACTAAATTTATTATTCTTGAATAACAGCTGAAACTAAAAATAAATTATTTTACCTGATAAATTCAATAAACACATAAACTTGTATTATACAATAAATAATAATAATAATAATAATAATAATAATAATAAAATATATATTTTTATAGAGAATACAGAAAATTAACGTAATGTGTAATTAGTCATCTTTTGGATCAGTTACTGCAACCGGCCACAAAGCAGTAACCGGCTTTAACCGCGTCTGTACCGACTTTAATCGCGTCTTTAACAAGACTGCCGTCACCTGGAACAAGATACTCTGTCTGGGTGTTTTGTTGTTTATTGCAAAATTTCTCGCAAATTTTTTCACAGACGATTAAATCAGGCTTTTTCATTACATTCATGCACTGACTCGGAATACAATGTTTAATACACATTTGTATATTGAATGAGTGAGAAATTTGTGCTGAAAACACTATTATAATCATAACTGTGATCATGAAAGCGCTTGATTTTTTCTGAACGCCCATGACGTATGTATTTAAAAATGCTTAAAAGATATTGCAATTTCTTCTTTTAAAATCGTAAACAAGATAATTTGTTGAGTAATGTTAGGTTAAAGTAGGTGATATATATAGAAGAACTAATAATAACTAATTTTAATAGTTGTTGTAAATCTGTTTATTATTTTTACTTAAAATATATATGTCCGATTAGTTTTGTGAAGTTTACCTGTGGTTTGTCTATTTATAGTTCTCCACACAGCTTATTGTCACAAGGAAACAATGGTTAACCGTCTGTATTGCAAATTCTAGCTTGCAGATATATCCCATAAATCATTTTGGTTTATTTTGTAACAACTTGTTTTTATGCTAATATATCATGGACTGCAATATACATATCACTGGACAATGTAGCAATATGGAACATAAGATCAGAGTTGTGGAATTGACATTACCTGGGAAAGTGGCCACCCCACAGCATTGTTGTAATCATCATGAGAGACAACAAATGTTTAAAAAGAAACATATCATCATCTTATCTCTGAAGTATATAGTTCCATATAATTAAATATTCTCATGCTTATTACAAACTTAATTGGTTTTTCCATGTAATTAAATCATTCTCGAGATCTGTCGGAGAGGAAACTAACCGTGTCTGAACAGCTGCCTCGAGACCAAAGGAATGAGCGAAGCCTCCTGTTGGTAAAATGAAATCGGGTAGTTGCCACTGGCTCCACTGTGTACAAGAGGAGGCTTTTGACGCAACACCCTCGCGAATAGCATCTTCTTCAATTGGTTTTTCCATCGATCCAACACTTAACTTGAAACGAGAGAGAAGCTAAATTATTATCTTTTATTCAATACCATATTGGTTTACGGTTCGAACGGAAAGCTCTAGAGGAGATATCAGAGAAGATTGAGAGAGAAATGGTAGGTAAAAGAATAATTTGATCATCACTTTGACATCATTTTATTTGCTAGCAATTATGCTAATATGAAAATAAGCACATTTAAAAACATGGGAAAAACACAACTAAGTGTTGACCAAAAAAAAGAGAGTGGTCAAGAAATTTTTTTGGTCAACACTTAGTTGTGTTTTTCCCATGTTTTTAAATGTGCTTATTTTCATATTAGCATAATTGCTAGCAAATGAAATGATGTCAAAGTGATGATCAATTTTTTTTCTACCTGTCATTTCTCTTTAAATCTTTTCTGATATCTCCTCTAGAGCTTTCCGTTCAAGTTATTGTTTCGGTGGCCGGCGGCCTCTTTGTTGTTGGTCGCCATTTCACTTCTTGTTTTTAGTTAATAGAGTCCAGTTTTCCGAATCTATATGTATGGATGTATTTAACACTGTTTCATATCTGTTTGGTATGTGTTTTTTTTTTTTTTTAACAAACCATTCATTACTTCAGAAAAGGATCAAACAGAGTTAGTGAGGTAAAACAGAGCAGCCTTTGCCAAGGTGTCTGCTTCCCCATTGTATACTCTTGAAACATAAACAAACGAAACAGATGAAAAGGAGTTACAAAGATGGGAGATATCAAAAAGCAATCCTTGAATTTCCACAACTTTCTCCTTAGAATTGATGGCCATAATGAGGGACTTGGAGTCTGATCGGATGATCAAATTGTGCAAACCTAGAGACCTTGCTGCTTTTAAGCCAGCTTTAATCGCAAAAGCTTCTGCGACCAAGGCAGAGCCGACGTTGCTGCGATTTGAGGAAGATTGATGAAGGGTTCGACCGTCTGTGTCCTTGAAGATGCAGCCAAATCCTCCGCCACTTGTGCCAGCATTCCACGCTGCATCTACAAAACATAAAGTCATATCCTTAGTATTGCACACCTCCGGTGCCACCAAATTTTTTATCTGCGCCTTCTTAGTTATTTCCTTCTGAGCTATTTGCCAAGACCGAGCTTCTTTAAGTGCCAATGACACCAGTGCTTGTTCAGAATCATCCCGACCTTCAAAAAGAAACTTGTTCCTGCCAACCCACAAGTACCAAAGTATCCAAGGGTAGAGGGCAGCCTCTCCTAAACCTGTTGGAGGTAAATTAACCATTCGACGACACGCCTGCAGGAGCTCCTCAGGTGAGTTGATTTGTAGCGGGTTAGGTTTCAGCATCGCAGGGACTAGATCCCAAACTCTGACCGCAAAAGGACATTGGAGGAAGACGTGACGTTCCGTTTCTATCAGTCCACATCTTTTACATCTTCCCTCCACTTCCATCCCTCTCCTTAAGAGATTAGCTCCCACTGGTAGCGCTTTGCTTTTAATCTTCCAGAGGAAATGTTTCAGTTTCGGTGAAGTTTTAGTCTGCCAAATACAGAGATTCCAGTTAAAATCAGGAGTTTCCAGTTCACGGTTCACCACGCTCAAAGCATAACCCGACTTCGTTGAGTAAATTCCGTTTCTCTCTGATAACCAGACCAATTCATCCTTCATTTGGTATTCACTGGGAATAAGTCTCATAATCATTTCCTCATACTGAGGTAAGTGTAATCGAATAGCATTCACATTCCACTCCAATGAGTGCTCCTCCATTAGGTCTGCTACCTTTAGGTCTTTGTTCTCTGCTGTCGGAGGACCCATAGGGCAAATTGGTAGCTTTGTAGATAGCCAGGGATCCGACCACACATTGATATTTGTTCCAGAGCCAATCACCCAGCCCAGCCCCTTCGTGAGCACTTCCTTGCCAGCCATCACACCTCGCCATCCATGAGAAGCCGATTTAGGCGTTGAGGAGGTGAGGAAAGGTTCCGAATGGCAGTATTTTCCTAACAAGGTCTGAGAAAGCAACGAATTAGGGAACTTGAACACTCTCCACGCAATCTTTGCCAGTAGAGCATCGTTAAACTTTTCTATCTCCCTAAAACCCAAACCTCCAGCTCTCTTCGGTAAAGTAAGAACATTCCATGATACCCAAGACATTTTCTTAAGGTCAGGTTTAGTATCCCACCATAACCTAGTAAGGACTGTCTGGATCTGTTTACAGAGGGACTTAGGCAACTTGAAGCAGGACATAGTATAGGAAGGCATTGCCGACAAAACCGCTTTCAGCATAACTTGTTTCCCTGCTCCATTCAAGTATCGTGTCGTCCAGCTATGCGATTTCTGCCTAATGCGATCAACTATGCCTGCAAAGATGTCTTTTTTCTTCCTATTAAAATGTTCGGGCAAGCCCAAATATTTTCCTATGCCTCCTTCGCCTTGAATCTGTAAAGATTCCTTAACTCGTCTTCTTGTTTCAATGGGAGTCTTCGCGGAGAATGTCACAGCCGATTTTAGGAGGTTAATGCTCTGTCCGGATGCGGCTTCATATTTTCTCAGGATACTGACCAGTTCCGTGCAAGAGCCATGGTCACTTTTGCAAAAAAACATGGTGTCATCGGCGAAGAGGAGGTGGTTTATTGCTGGAGAATTACGTGCAACTTTTATACCCTGTAACGATCCTTGATCCAACGCTTTGGAGCAGAGGCCCGACAAGACTTCTGAACACATGATAAAGAGATATGGAGATAGAGGGTCGCCTTGCCGGATTCCACGGGTAGGTCTCACACATCCCTGAGCACTGCCATTAATAAGGAACGAATATGAGACTGAGCTAACACATTCTAGAATCCAGTTAACCCAAGTCTGATGAAATCCAAAACGGATCATCACATCTTTCAAGAAGCTCCACTCCAAGCGATCATAAGCCTTACTCATGTTCGTTTTAACGGCCATTGAGCAATGCTTCTTTGCTGATGAAGTACGTAGGTAATGGAGGACTTCATGGGTTATGAGAACGTTATCGGAAATTGATATGTGTTTAAACTCCGAATTGGTGGGAAAGTTTAAGCGCAGATTTTGGATTGGTTTTCTTCTTTTTTAGTTATGCTTGTTTCTTTATATATGTATAATCATTTTCTTTTGTTTGTAGAAAAATTAAGAGCGAGGTTTCTATATGTTAGATTCGACAAGTGATTCAGATGTTTAAATGATTTGCATGAAAAATCAGTGTCTGAAAAGTGTTGTACGGAGTTAATTTACCCCAATAGTTACAAAAGGTGAAATAGACATATTCAAATGTTGTTATTAGGTATCTTGGAGAGGAAAACTTTCAACATAGCCAAGGTTGTGTCGACGGTGCGGCGGAACTTTCATGACGATGGTCTCTCGAACGTGGTAATATAAAGGAGAAACTCGTTCGCTATCGCAGAAAGAGGACAACTGTATATATTAAGAAACAACAATGGCTGATATTATAGGCTTATTTGTGTCCTCTACCCTTCTTGAACCGTTCCATAGATCTTTTACTTCTATGTAACAACATGTAGTTACAACAGTTAACCATAAAAACAAGTGGTTACAAAATAAACCAAAATGGTATATGGATATATCTGCAAGCTAATAAATTAGCAATACGAACGAATAATTATTGTTTTTTTATAGTAATGAGTTGTTTGGAGAACTAAAATAGACAGAGCGCAGCTAAAATTTACAAATTTAACTGAATCAAGAAATATTTTAAGACAAAATAGTAAAACTGATTTTAAAACAACTAATACGAGAGGTATTATTGGTTCTGCTATATAAATCACCAACATTAACCTAACATCGCTCATCAAATTATCTTATTTACGATTTTAAAGGAAGAAAGTGCAATATTTTCTTAGTATTTGTGATAATATACGTCATGGGAATTCACAAAAAATCAAGTGTTTTCATGATCATAATTATGATTATGATAGTGTTTTCAGCACACAATTCTCATTCAATCGATGTACAAATGTGTATAAAAGATTGCATTCCAAATAAGTGCATGAAAGTAATTGAGAAGCCTAATCTAACCCCCATATGTAAAGAAGCTTGCGAGGAGTTTTGCAATGAACAACCAACCGACCGACCAA